ATGCATTCATTCATTCATGATATAAGTGATTTCTGTTGTTTTTTACAGCGTTTTATTAGTTTCAGGTGTACAGTAGAGTAATTCAGCACTTCCACGCATCACCCTGTGACCATCGTGACGAGTGCGCTACTGAATCCCCGTCCCGTTTCACCCATCCCCCCACCCGTGTCCCCTCTGGCGACCAGCACTTTGCTCTTCATAGTTAGGAGTCTGTTTCGTCGTTTGTCTTTCTGTTTCTGTTTTGTTTTTTTTTTCATTTGTTTTGTTTCTTAAATTCCGTATGTGGGTGAAATCATATGGTATTTGTCTTTCTCTGCTTGACGTATCTCACTTAGCATGACACTCTCCAGCTGTGTCCATGTTGTTGCCAGTGGCAAGATTTCAACCCTTCGTGTTTAGACGTGTCACATCTTCCTCACCCATTCGTCCGTCCGTGGACACTTGGACGGTTTCCATACCTCGGCTGTTGTAGATGACGCTGCTATAAACATCAGGGCACACGTATCCCTCTCAGTTAATATTCCTGTAATTTCGGGGGTAAATACCCATCGTGCGGTTGTGGGGTCGGAGGGCAGCTCTGTCTTCACCTTCTGGAGGGACGTCCGTGCTGTCTTCCACCATGGCTGCGCCGGCCTGCGTCACCACTAACTGTGCGAGGCCCCTTTTTCTCCACATCCTCGAAAACATCTTGTTAAGATTTAACTTAAATTTAACCAAACACCCATGAAGTGAAATGGTATTTCATCTTGGCTTTGATTTGCATTTCCTCTAACGACTTATGATAATGAGCGTTTTTATGTGCTGATCGCACCAGTTATATGTCTTCTTTGGAGAAATGTATTTTCAGATTCTTTCCCCATTTTTAAATTGGTTAATTTGTCATTTTGCTATTGACCTGTAATTTTTCTCTCTATATTATGATGTTAGCACTTACCAGATAGATGATTTGTAAATACATTCTCACATCCTGTGGGTTATCTTTTCATTTTCTTGATGGTGTCAGTTGAAGTACAAATGATTTCTATTTTAATGAAGTCCCATTTTTCTGCTTTTATTTTCACCATGTGCTTTTGGAGTTATAGCTAAGAATTTATTACCTAACCCAAAGTCATGAAGATTCACTTCTGAGTTTCCATTTAGTTTGGTAATGTTTGTCCCTGTCTTTAGCTCTATGACCACTTTGACGTAATTTTGCATGTGGTGTGTGGTAGGGATTCAGCTTCTGGTGGTTTTAGCACCGTTTGCTGAAAAGACTGTTCTTTGCCCTGTTGCATTGTCTTGTCATCCTTGTTAAAAAATCAATTGATCGTGGGGCGCCTGGGTGGCTCAGTGGGTTAAAGCCTCTGCCTTCAGCTCGGGTCGTGGTCCCGGGGTCCTGGGATCAAGCACCGCATCAGGCTCTCTGCTCAGCGGGGAGCCTGCTTCCTCCTCTCTCTCTCTGCCTGCCTCTCTGCCTACTTGTGATCTCTGTCAAATAAATAAATAAAATCTTTAAAAAAAAATCAATTGATCATAAGTGTAAGGGTTTATTTCTAGGTCATCAATTCTAATCTATTGATCAATATATCTGCCCTTTTTAGGGGGATTTATTTATTTCTAGGTCATCAATTCTAATTGATCAGTATATCTATATATTATTTCTAGGTCATTCATTCTAATTGATCAATATATCTGCCCTTTTTAGGGGGAAAGTTTTAAAATTTCACTTTCCTTAATAATTATAGTATGATTAAATTTAGCTACTTTATACTGGATGAGTTGGGCTAGTTTGTGTGTTTTGAGAACTTGCTCCGTTTCATCTGCGTTGTCGAGCATACATCAAGTTGTTGGTGGTGTTCCTTCATTGACCTTTTGATGGCAGCTGGGTCTATGTAGTGATATCCCCTGTTTCATTTATGATGTTGATAATTTGTCTTCTCTCCTTTTTTCTTAGTGTTATCAGAGGTATGTCAATTTAATAGTTTTTTTTAATAACCAATTTTTTAAAAAAGATTTTATTTATTTATTTGAGAGAGAGACAGCGCATGAGAAGGGGGAGGGTCAGAGGGAGAAGCAGACTCCCTGCCAAGCAGGGAGCCCGATGCGGGACTCGATCCTGGGACTCCAGGATCGTGACCTGAGCTGAAGGCAGTTGCTTAACCCACTGAGCCACCCAGGCGCCCCAAGAACCAGTTTTAAAAAATTGATTTTTTCTATTGTTTTTATTTTCAGTTTTGTTGATTTATTCTCTTATTTCTCTTCTCTTCTCTCCTCTCCTCTTCCCTTCCCTTCCCTTCTTTTCTCTTCTTTTTTTTTTTCTTCCTTTTCTTTTCTTTTGAGGCCCAGTGTGGGTTGAACTCACAACCCTGAGATCAGAACATGCGCTGAGATCATGAGCTGGATGCTTGGCCGACTGAGACACTCAGACCCCTTCGTGGTCTTACATTATTATTTACTTGCTTGGGATTGATGTGGGTTTATGTTGCTCTTTTGTTTTTCCTAGCTGCTTGAGGTGGAAGCTTAGATTATTGATTTGAGATTTTTCCTCTTTTGTAATATATGTATTACATATATTTAAATTTCCCTCTTGACGCTGCTTTAGCCGTGCCCTTCAATTTTGATATGTTGTGTTTTCATTTTTGTTCAGTTCAGTGTATTTTTATATTTCCCTTGAGATTTCTTCTTTGACCATGGATTTAGAATCATTTTCCCCTTGTAAGTAAGATGTCATTTCTTTTATACCACTTTCAGTAATTTGTCTTTAGTTTTCCTAAATTTGACTATGCTATGCCTTATTTTGGATTTCTTTGGATTTAACTTCTTGAATCTGTAGGTTTATGTCTCTTGACAAATGTGGAAAGCCTTTGGGCACTATTTTTTTTTTTTTTTTTGAGTACTTCCCAGCCTTCTCCTCTTCCTCCTGTATTCTGCTGTTCTGATGACATGAATCTTAGATCTTTCGTTATAGTCCCACAGGTTGTTGAGGTTCTGTTGTTTCTTTCTTGTTTTTGTGTTTTATTTTTAATTTATTATTTATTTATTTGTAAAGATTTTATTTCCTTATTTTACACAGAGAGAGAGAGAGAGAGAGAGAGAGCGAGCATGTGCACAAGCAGGGGCAGAGGGAGAGGGAGTAGCAGACCCCCCTGCTGAGCAGGGAGCCTGATGCGGGGCTGGATCCCAGGATCACAACCTGAGCCAAAGGCAGATGCTCAACCAACTGAGCCACCCAGGCGCCCCTGGTTTTGTTTTTAAAGTCGGGTTTCTCTCTGCTTATCAGACTGGGTAACTTCTATTGTTCTCTTTTACTGTTCACGGATTCTTTCCTCTGTCTCCTCCATTCTGTTGTCGTACTTTTCCATTTAAAGATTTTATTTATTTGAAAGACAGAGATCACAAGTAGGCAGAGAGGCAGGCAGAGAGAGAGGGGGGAGAAGCAGGCTCCCTGCCAAGCAGAGAGCCCAGCCCGATGTGGGCCTCAATCCCAGGACCCTGAGATCATGACCTGAGCCGAAGGCAGAGGCTTAACCCACTGAGCCACCCAGGTGCCCTGTACCTTTCCATTTAGATTTTTATTTTGATTATTGTGGTTTTCAGTTCTAAGTTTTTCACTTGGTTCTTCTTTGTATTTTCTATTTGTTTGCTGATACTATTTCTTTGCTGAAACTTTCTATTTTTTGAGTGTGTTTCAAGTGTGTACATGGTTAGCCTTTGAAGCATTTTTAGGATGGCTGCTTTAAAATCTTTGTCAGATACTTTTCTCATCTTTGTCTCTTAGTATCATTGGTCATCTGTATCAGTCAGGTTCTCCAGAAATAAAGAACCAATAAGACACATACGTATGTGTATGTATATAGATATGTATGAAGACAGAGAAAGAGAGATTGATCAACTGATTATTAGGAATTGGCCTTTGTGAATGTGGAGGTTGGCGGGTCCAAATCGGCAGTTTAGGCTGGCAGATTCCAGACCCGGGAGAGACAGGGGTGCAGTCCCGGTCCAAGAGCCAGCAGGTAGAGACCTAACAGAGCCAGGGGTACAGATGACGTCTGCGGCAGTCTCCGAGAGAACTCCCTTTTACTTGGAGGAGAGGCGACTTTTTTTCTCTTCAGATCTTCAACTGATCGAATAAGGTCCACCACCTTATGGGAGGCAGTCTGCTTTACTCTATCCATTAAAATGCTAGTCTCATCCAAAAACACATTTGTGGAAACACCCAGAATAATGTTTGATAAATACCTGGGGACCCTGTGGTCCAGTCAAATTGACACATAAAATTAACCATCATGCCATCTATCGATTGTCTTTCTTCACTCAGTTTTTGCTTTTTCTGGTTTTTGGTATGGCAAATGAGTTTCAGCTGAAAACTGAACACTTTTGGTGTTATGTCATGAGACCCAGATTATAAAAGTCAAAAGGTCTGGGTGAGACGCCCTTCTTTGCATTCAGTTTTTGGATCATGCCTGAGCGCTGGCTTCTGGCTTAAGCCCAGCCCGTGGTGAGAACAGTTCCTTGGGGACTTGTGGCTTGCTCTTGATATGGGGGGAATAAGGCCTGGGACCTTACAGCCTCTGAGCTGTGGAGACCGCTGCAGACAGAAAATCAGACTTGGACCTGGGGCCCCCAGGCTGCATTCAGGAGAAATGTCTGTAGAGCTGACAGGTATGTCCAGTAGCCTGGGGAGGACAGAGGAGGTGTCTGAGCAGAGGCTGGGCGTGCGGCCTTCCAGGTTTCGGGGGAGCCTCTGGCTCCCTGGAGCAAATTCCTTGGCTTTTCCATTTGGCTGGGCAGAGACCAGGAGTGCTCATTGTCCTTGGTCCTTCGAGAGCTCTGGGGCAGCTTCCAAGAAAGTGCTGTGGGGCCAGGGAGGCAGGTCTGCTGTGGGTCCTGCCACTCCCCCAGCCCCGGAACACTCCCTGCCTAGGCCGTGCCAGGTATTTGACGAGGGGTTGAGGGTGCTTCTGCAGCAGGGGCTGTGGGTCTTGCGACCCGTTTTTTGCTCATCTCCTTCTCGCCTGCAGACGAACGACGCGGCCGGCAACACCTGGAACTGGCTGTACTTCATCCCTCTCATCATCATCGGCTCTTTCTTCATGCTCAACCTGGTGCTGGGCGTGCTCTCCGGGTAAGCAGCTGTGTCGGCTTGCGCGTCGCCTGCCCTCCTGTGTCCTCGGGCTGAGGGGCAGATGCTGTGGTCAGACGTGGGCGCGTGTGATGTGGGGAAGGTGAGGCCTGGCCTGGCCTCATTGTCCCTCTCTGTGCTGGTCCCTCCTGTTGTCCTGAGCACGGGCCAGCCTGTCCTTTGTGCTGCTGTCCTGACCTCTCTCTTCACTATCCCCTGGCCCTGGCCTCCTTATCTCTATCCCACCCTTGGCCTTCACCCTGTCCCCTGAGATGGGGGAGAGGCTGCTGCTGGAGCTCACCTGAGTCCATTGTGTGGTTTTTGGGCAGCCCCGGAGCCTAGAGGGTCCCTCTGCTGCTGTAGTGGAGAGTGATGGCACAGCCCCATATGCTGACTGTGGTGGTCACTGGGCTCTCCACCCCACCTTGACCCCTGGCTTGCTCCTCCTCTCCAGACCCCTTTCTGTGCTGAGCTCCTCCAAGAGTGAACAAGGGAGGGTGAGGGGCGGGGATTCCCTCCTGAAGAAAGCAGTTTCCTGACCCCACATTGTACTTGCCTGCCCTGCATGGGGCAGAGGCTACAGAAGTGGTGTGTACTTGGGGGCACAGGTGGGGCTGGTGTTTGGGGATCCCGCCCTCTCATCAGTCTGGGGAAGCTGTGTCAGGAAGGCCTGGCCTGCGCTTTGTCCCACACTAGTATGATACCCCCGGAAGACTAGAGGAGAAATCTCATCCTGCCTACTCTGAAGTTTCCTGCTCAGGCCCGGGGCTCCTGAGGTGGGCTCGGGGAGAGGCTGGTGGACCAAGGGGCCTGGAAAAGAATAGCCACTGAGAGGACAGTGTAGCCAAGGCCTGCATGCTCTGGCTCTGGAATGTGTCCTCAGCTTCAGTCCTCTCCTGTAAGGGGTATGTCACCAGCATGTCTTTCCAGGCACCTCCATAGGGACAGGCACACCCACAGCGCAGTGGACGGATGCACGACTTCTAGTCTGAAGGAGCTGCATGGTGTGAGCTGGAGGAGGCCTGGAGCTCAGGGAAACCACCCAGGGAAGGGGCATTTCCACTGAGATCCAAAGGGAGACCAGGAATGGGCTCAGCAAAGCATGGGAGAGGGTTTCCCTGGCAGAGAAGAGCTGGGGTACAGGCCCAGGGGTAACCAGAGGGGCGCGTTGTGTGCTGCGGGGATGCGCGGGGCTGGAATCGGAGGGTGTGGAGGGGTGAGGCTGCCGCGGCCAGCAGACCGCAGGTTGTGTGGAGCGTGGGCTGTGTGCTGAGGACGGTGCACCCTGGGGAGGTGGCAGGAACATGAGTGGGTTCGCGGTGAGTTGGGAGAGCACCCTGCTCAGGGTGGCTTTGTGTGGCTTGCCCTGAAGAATGTGCAGAAAGAACTGGGGAGCTGGGGGTGCTCCTCACGGAGCAGGGCCATGGACATGGTGACTTCCCAGCCCTTCTCCCACTGGAGGGCATCCTGGCCTCTGGGGATGAGGTGATACGGGGTAGTTTTCCTAATTAGTCTCAGCTGAGCCCTCCCTCAGGCATCCAGGCCCAACAGAGAGACCCCAGGGTTCTCTTTCAGGCCCGGGCAGGCTTGGAAATAGCTTGGCCCCTAAAGCCAGCAGACTGTGCACAGCTGGCGGGTCCCACGCTGGCGACACTCCACGGTGGTATGGACTAGACGCCACGTCTGCAGCCTGGCCTAGGGAATGCTTGCCCTGCAGGACTCTGTGGCTTGGCCACGTCTGGGCAACGCTGCTACAGGGCTGGCTTGGAGCCCCTCCAGGCTTGTTCTTCCTCATGCCCTGGGCTGTTGCCAACAGCACATTCCAGAGGGTCAGGATCAGGGATTCCTCTTGGGGCTTTTCTTAGCAGAAGCCTGGGGAGGATAGGCCTGCTGCTCACTGCCGTTTGGGAAGTGGCTGCTCTGTGGGGCCTGGATTGCTGTATGTTTCTGCTGGTGGCTCTGGGACTGACTCACGTGGGATTGTCGCTGCCCCACGCCTGCACCCCAGGCCCTCCGCCCTCATCAGGGCCAAGGGATGGCGTCTGGATAGAGAGGGGAGGAGGGGTGGGGGCCCAGGTCCCTGCAGGGGTTTGCGGGGGGATGGGAGGTCCAGGCAGGAGCTGGCTGCTCTCATTGCCAGGGTTGCCACAGCTCAGGCCCTGGTGGATGGTGGTCATGAGCTTGGGTCAGGGAGAGCCGAGCTCTCCCTCCTGCCATGGCTCTGGGCCAGGAGTGAGGTCTGCTGGGCTCGCTGCACCAAGCCCAGAAGCTGCTTCTCTTGGAGGAGAAATGGCCACTCCTCTGAGGATAGACGTTGCTGTGGGGCTGCAGGGGCGTGCCTGCCTGTCCTCTGGGGACCTGGCCTGAGAAGCTTGCCATGCTGGATGCCGAGTGTGCGTGTACTTGGGCGTGCCTGTGTGCCCATGTGTGTGGATGGCTTCCTTCTGGCAGTGTGAGCCCAAAACCTTGTCTGGGAGGCTGGGGCTGGGCTGCTGAGGGCTAAGGAGGGCAGAGATCTCTCTCCTTGTCTTCGTGAGCCTCCCAGGTTTGGCTGAGGTGGCTCTGGAATGTTTTCCTTTCATCGTTGGCTTGCCCCCATGCAGTCCTTTCTTGCCCTGTTCCTGTCTGTCTTTCCCTTCCTAGCAAGGGCTCTGGGTCTGAATCAGTGGAAGAAACAAAGTGGGAGGCCTCTGGGCTGATCTCGCCGAGAAGGTCTCTGTAGGGTGCGGATGACAGAGGCTGGCACGCAGAGGGTATGCGCCTCGGCTGGCTCTGGGCAGGGCTGTGGCACTGTCCCTGCTCTCAGGAATGCCCCAGGGGACTGGGATGCACAGGTGTCCCTTTGTGCTGGAGGGTCCTGAGGAAGGAGCGTTCAGCTGGGCCCCTTGAGGGAGCTCAAGCTGGTGGCGAGGGGCAGCCCGCGGCCTGGCTGTCATGTCCCAGCCTCTTCCTGGTTCCCTCTGATTCTGTCCACACGCCCGTGGGCTGGTGGCCGTGCTCACACTCACTCTTCCTTTTCTGGGCCTGCGCAACGCAGAGAGTTTGCCAAGGAGCGTGAGAGGGTCGAGAACCGCCGGGCCTTCCTGAAGCTTCGCAGGCAGCAGCAGATCGAGCGGGAGCTCAATGGGTACCTGGAGTGGATCTTCAAGGCCGGTGAGAACCGGGGGCGGCAGGCGTGCTCCTGGCCTGGCCTCGGTCAGCGGCCCTGGGGAGGATGAGACCAGGCTGGGAGAGGGGAGCTGGGGCGTCTAAAGTGCGTTCTCCAGCTCTCCCGGGTCCTGACACCAGGTGGCCCTGTGGCTCTGGGGACACTGGCCTTTTCAGTGGAGGCTTCCAGCAAAGCCTCTCCTGGGGCTGCTTTCTGCCTGTTGGACGCAGGCACCTGACTCTTGACCTGAGCCTGCTCTGTGCTCTGCAGCGGGCTCGGAGCTTTCTTAACCAACTGAGCCACCCAGGCGTCCCAGATCTGGGCTTTCCAACTGCTCCCCAGCCTCCGGCTGGTGTACCTCCCTGCCTATGGGGCGCCTGCCAGGTGCCTTGTCTGCGTGGAGCTCGGCCAGTGGGTGGCTGCTCTTGGGAGGGCGAAGTGAGCCTGGGAACAGGCCAGGTGCCCCTCGTGTGGCACTGCCTGTGGGATACATGAGGGTGTCTGTCTCAGCAGGGAAAGCTTAGCCGCAAGCCCCATGGGCTTCTGGGATTGGAAGGGCTGAGAAGCAGAGGGCATTTACCCTGTGTGCTCCTGGGGGGTAAGCCCTGGTCAGGGGTTGGGGTGGGAAGACCCCAACCTGAGGCTGTGTCTCGCTCACAGAGGAAGTCATGCTGGCCGAGGAGGACAAGAATGCGGAGGAGAAGTCCCCTCTGGATGGTAGGTGACCACTGTTAGCACCGTGTACCCAGCGAGAAAACCCGTGAGCACGCTCACACTGGGGATGCCACAGCCACATGTCTGTTAGGGCAGTCATGGGAAGTCATAGGAAGTCATGGCACCTCCTGGGGAGGGGTGAGCCACGGCCTAGCCTGGACGTAGCTGGCGGTGGGCTCAGACACCACGTCCGCCGGGCATCCCACTGGGGTTCAGGGCAGCATGTGCTCCCAGTAGGCCCGAGCACTGTGCCGTCCGGCCTGGCAGCTCACGTGGACGCCCAGGGAAGCAAACGTGGGAGACCCATCCCTCAGGCTCACCCGCCACTTCAGGCGCTGAGAAGCCAGATGGTGCTGGAGGCTGCTGTGCTGGTTGGCAGAGACTAGGTCATTCCCGTAGTCCCAGGAAGAGCCTCTGGACGGTGCTGCTTCTAGAAGCTCTGAGTTCAGGCTGAAATCAAGCTGTACCTGTTTCTGGGGCTCAGGGCGATGTGGCTCCCAGCATAGCCTGGGGTTGCCGGGGTCGCCACGAGAGCCCCGTGTCCATGGTCACCAGCCTGGCGACAGGCACAGGCCCGGGGGCAGGGAGGCTGTTCTCTCTTTACACCAAAGCCAAGGCCAGAGGGATTGGCCGCGTCTGCTGTAGCCTCCGTTGAACCGCATCTGGGGCACTGAGCTGGTCTGTGCTCAGCGTTTGCAGACCTGATCGACCTTTCTGCTCTCACCTGGCCTCGGGGTGGGCTGTGGGGACAGTCGGCTGCAGCCTGGCCTTGCCCCACACAGGGGTAGCCACTGACGTCATCGCTGAGAAAAGGCAGAGCGGCCGCATTCGCCTCTGAATTTCTTCTCCCCTTTGCCCTGAAGACTGAGAGGGGCTCCCGGGGGCCCGGGGAGGAGACCCCAGGAAGGCCCTTGCCCCCTCAGCTGAGGGACGTGCAGCTGGGTGCCGGCTCACGCAGCCCCTCTCCCCACACTTGTTTAAAGCAGTGCTGAAGAGGGCAGCCGCCAAGAAGAGCCGGAGCGACCTGATCCACGCCGAGGAGGGTGAGGACCGGTTTGCCGACCTGTGCGCGGTCGGTGAGTGTGCTGCAGCCCGCCCGGCGGGACGGGGTCTGTCCTCTGACTGGGCGTAGTGGGTGCCCCTAGCTTCCTGCCTCTCCCGCTGGGGTCCCCTTCCTTCCCTGCTGCCTACTCTCCCGTGTCCCTCCTGATGGCAGGATGTGAGGTGCCTTCTGCCCTCTGGTGTGCACTCAGCTTTCTTGCCCAGAGCCGGGCAGCAGGGGCGGGCCCCGTGTCTGGCTCCAGGAACCTCCCTGCTGCCCGGGTCCCGCGGCTCGTTCACGGCAGTGCAGCCCTGGCTGCCCTCGGCTCTGCTGTTGCCCGGGTAGTCGCAGAGCCTTGGCCGCACCCCACGGCAGAGGGTCTGCATGTGTGTCACCGACTGTAGGGACAGAGGGTTCTGGCCATCTTCCTACCCAGCCCCCGTCTTCCATGCTCCTGGGCCTCTGGCTTCGTCTCCGTCTTCTCAAACGGTGACAGGAGAATTCTGGTTCATTGAATCACACGGACTGCCTTAGTTCCCTTCCTGAGGCTGCTACCAGACATGCCAGCCCTTTCTCAATAAATGCCCTGTTTCTCTGAGGTCTGCGGCAGAAGAGGGCTCGGCCGTGGGTCTCCACCTCGGCAGGTGGAGAAGGGCCCTCGTGGCGGTGCCCTGTCACTGCGAGCCCCGAGCTGGACACGGTCAGGCGGCCATGATCTCCCGCAGTCCCTGAGCCAGCCTGAGGCAGAGGTCTGCTCCTCGTGGTGGGGTCACACTCGTGAGACAGCTCTATGAGGTGTTTACCTACCAGCCAACCTGCTTCCGTCTCTGTCTCTCTATCTGGCTGTCAATCTGGGGTGTCTCCTGGTCTGTCATCTGCCAGTCATCGGTCATCTGCCATCGGTCGTCTCTATCTTCTCCGCACACAGGCCCAGTAAACGCGTGTCAGTGGCGTGGGGTTTGTGCCTGTTTCTCAGATCACTTGCCTGCCCCTCACCCACACACGCGTGCTCACACACACACAGTGTTGAGATCTCTGCATGTCACAGAAATGCTTTCGTACAGATTTTTCTGGAGACCACTCCCCTCAGAAGTCTGATTCTGATTCTCGTTTGGTGCTCCGTGGGGTCACAAGAATTGGTTTGGCTGCTCTGTGTCAATGGCCAGTCATTCATTTTTAAGTACTTTGATCTTTGTCTGGAAAGTGCTGCCGAAACAAAGCCCTGTCGACCTCTGTCCTTCCCTGCAGTGCTTCTGTCCTGTGGGTGGACGTGGACCCACCGTCCCTCCGGGCGCGCGGGAGATGCTCTGACTCCGGCTGGCTGGAGGCCAGTCCGACGAGGCTGAAGGGACGTTTCCCTGGGTTTGCCGTTCTCGTGCACTCACTGCTCGTGACCTGGAGTCTCTTTAAATGTTGGTTTTCCCTCTCAAGTTGGGTTTGGCGACTCCGCATACACCCTGTCCGTTTTTCTGTTGGGTGGTTTGCGTCTGCTAGCTAGTAAGAGACTAATGTGTGTTGTGGGTCTGAGTTTTGTTACAATTTTCACAAATTTATCATGTGACTGCAATATTTAGGGTCCCCTTTATTTCTATTTTACCTAGGATTTTTATTCTGATTTTGTAAAATTAACTGGAAAGATTTTTTAAAGTCTTTTTCTATGGCTTAGAATAACTTAAATAACACCTAAATAGTGTGTTTTTTAAAGGTGAGACAAAACCTGAGCGCAAAGTAAAAAGAACTTGGGCCAGTTTTATAAATTTTGCCATGTGAGGAAACCTTCCATTTTCTCAGCATTTCAAACGTGTTTCTGTAGAGTCGCCTGCGCTTTTCTCTTGCAGTGCTCCTCATCCCCCCGCACACAGCTGCATGCTCGCTCTTTGGCCCCGCAGACGTTGACGGGAGCCGACGGCGTGCAGGGAACTGTTCCCCGCACGGGGGCCTCCGGTGGAGCGGATCAGGGAATCCCCTTCCTCTTCGGGTTTTCCCTGCAGTGCCAGCCGCAGACGCCAGCAGGGGACCATGGAAAGGGTGTTGTGTGTCCTAGCCGCCTCTGCAACAGGGAAAACCCGACAGGGGCTTGGAGGGCAGGGGCCTCAGGGTTTTCATGAGAAAGGCCCTGAAGGCCCCCTGGGGAAAGGTCGCCTTCGAGTAAAGTGGAAGGACATGAGAGAGTCCGCTCCGAGGAAGAGAACCTTCTGGCAACATGCGAGAAGACCCTGAAGCAGGGAGGAGCGTGGCACACGTGGGGCCTGCTGGGGGTCCGGTGTGGCTGGACTGGAGTGGCCTGGGGGTCAGAAGGCCGTGGAAGGCGAGGGACACGCAGGGACTCCGGCTGCGGGGGATTTTATAGAGAGGAGATGCCATCCGGCTCCAGGTCGGGTGCAGGGGAGCCCCAAGGGCAGGAAGGGCAGAAACAGGGCCTGTTCCGAGGCCACTGTAGGGATCAGACCCGCAATGGCAGCCATGGGGTGTCTGGTGGCCAGACTCAGGGACAGCCTGAAGGTGACAGCGTTGCTGGCCAGTTGGGCGTGGGCCTCAGGGGATGTGGGGCACTGTGTGCCTCAGGGTGGGCTGGGCGCTGACGCCCGGAGTCCAGCGAGCGTGTGCCACATGTGTGCAACCCCATGGGGGCACGGGTGGCCCAGCTGGGAGTCTGGCTCAGCGGCAGGAAGGTGCTGACCCCTTGGAGGCCGTCCGGGACGCGCTGAGCCTGCTCCTGCTGCTTGCTCGTTGCTGGAATGTCTGTCTGTCTGCCTGTTATTACACTGGATTGTGCAGGGTTCATCTGTAGGAGGTCACGTAAAATGACCTGATTGTAGACTTCTTTTCCTCTAGCTTTTCTTGAATGTCATGACTTCCTCTTGTATCTTTAGTAGGTGCATCTTTTTAAATTATTTTGATTTGCTTTTTTAAGACATTCGTAATTTCTTACACAAGGTGTCTGGCTCCTTACTGACTGTCCTGTGTCCTCCTCTCCGCAGCATGAGGCCTCTGTGTCGACTGCCCCTGCTGTTCTGCGGTGTCACACTGTCCCCGCTGTCCCCCTGCTGCGGAGGTCCTGGGGGCCACGGAGGTCCTGGGGGCTGTGGCTCCGGTTCTGGATCAGAAGCTCCTCCTTTGCCCCAGGGACTTGGGCCCTCCCTCACGGGGGGCTTTTCTCAATGAGTTCACGTCCTCGCATCTTTTTTGCACCTGGATCCCTCTTATCTCATGCCTGTCGCCCACTTTGCTCCTGCAGGTCTCACCCTCTGTCCCTCAGGGTTTCTCCCCTTGTTCAACACGTGGCTTGTGCTCCGCCCTCAGGCCACTAGTCTGGGTTCTGAGAGTGAACCTCCTTTCCTTTCCTTTCCTCTGCTGAAGGGAATTTTATTTTTTCTCCAGAAAGTTTCTCCTTTCAGTTTTACGTGGTTTGCTTGGTGCTGTCCTTGAGTCCCTGGGATGTTGCTGATTTTTCCTCCTGGGTCCCTGGCAGGCAGGGCCCGTGGGCTCAGCAGGCTCGGACGGGCTCAGGTGTGGGGCTGGGCAGGGAGGACAGAAGCGGTGCTTGGGTTTCCCCGTCCCGGCGCCTCCTTTGTTCCTCTGCCTGAGCTGAGGGTGGCGGCGTCTCGGGCCCTGGGCTTGTCAGCCTCTGCCCTCGCTGTCTCTGGCGCCTGTGGCTGAGCCCCATGTGGCCGGCATTGTCTCACTGAGCCCTACAGGAGCCGCGTGGTCTGGTTTACCAGGATCTGTTTCGAAAGAGATCTCTGGGCTATGACGGGGTGAGGCCACATGCCATGGGCAGAGGTGATGGGGTTTGTGTCTCCAGGGCTTGCTGGCCATCGTCGCCTCCATCATTCCACGCTGGCGAGTGCAACAGTGAAGCTGGAGGGAAACACGTTTCTCCTCCATCCCTTCAGGGGCCACGGGTGGGGTCATCCAGGGTGGGGATGGATCTCAGCCGTTCTGTCCTCTCTCTGCCACTCAGGCCCAAGCTCTGTGTGTGTCTTTGGAAGGACTGGGATTGTCACACAGGCCAGCGAAGACTTTCTACTAACGGACAAGCTCCTCTTTTGGACGTGATGGCAGGAAATCCAAACGCTGTGTACAGCTTTCCGTTGTTCTTACTAATGCCCGACTGAGCTGCCATTCACAGGCTGATTGAATTCTTGATTTCTCCTAGCTTGACGATACATCTTTTCCCCTGAAATAAGCCTTTTGTTTAGAAAGAATGTACACTGATCAAGTTAAATATGGAAAATGCACAGCGTGAAAAGAGGTAGTCCCAGTCCTGTCCCTTGGAGTGTGTTGGGAGATAGGCAGGGCTTCAGGAGCCAAGTAGGTGTGCATGGTTTTGTGCAAATGTGGCCAAGGACATTTCTGTCTGGGTTTGCCTTGTTGAGTGAAGAAGCATGTGGTTGTTTGCATGTGGGTACGGGGGGCGTGTGAAGACAGCACTCGCGGGAGGCCTTTCCCATGGCAGGGCCCCCTGGTTCCTGGTGGGCATGGCCCAGAAAGCGAGATGGGCAGGGCGATGCGGCCTACCCTGGAGAACTTGCTGCCTGTCTCACAGGCCACACGTGTGTGCACACACGTCCCCTCCTTCCCAGCATGGCCCTGTGTGTGTCCACAGATGTGTACCCATGTGACTCTGTGTGTGGTGTTTCTCTGAGAGTGAGATGGTCAGGGTGTGTGTGTGGCTCTGCCTGTGTGTGGGTCCCTCCTGGTCCACACTGTCTGCCTCCCTCTGGGCCTTATTTCTGAGGAGGCAGCGGGTGTGTCTGGCTGTGGCCTTGGCACTTTGCTGCCTCAAGAAAGCAGGCCCAGAGCCCTTGTGCAGTGAGGTCACTCTCACTGTTGGTGGCCAGTGTCTGGTGCCTGGAACGTGAGGCTGTGTCCTGGCTTCCCCAGGAGGCTGTGATGGGGCAGTGTCTTCCGTGGGTGTGGATGGGGCGTGGCATCAGGCATTGCAAGGTTGCTCCGAGGGCCGGCTGCTGGCCCTGTCCTGTAAAGTGCTCCTTCTGGGCCTGTGGCTGTCGGTCCCAGCGTCTACCCACGACATAGCTGTCAGCTTATTGATCAGTCTCTCCCAAGGCCTCAGGGCCAGTCCTCATTTCACTGAATTCAAGAAAACACCAACCCCAGAATGCTATTACTGTCCCACTGAGTCTGTGTGTCCCGCCCCCCCCATACCCCTGCACCCAGGGGCCTGGTGCCCAAGCTGACTGGGCTTGGACCCTTGGAGGCTCACACAGGTCCAGGCCCTTATTGAAAGCACTAGAGAGGCCGTGATGTGCTGCAGACACATGGACTGTCCTGAGAGACCGAGCTGTGCACACTTGCCACTGCCAAGCACCCAGGAAGCCTGCTCACTTGCTTGTCAGGGAGCGCATGGGCTCTCGGGAAGCCCCGTCCTGTCCTGTCCTCACGGAGTGTGCTGTCTGGCCTGGAAGCTGGGCACAGAGCAGGTCAATGAGCCAGTCCAGGGGCAGATGGTGGGATTATTGCTGGGGGGGCAATGATCTGATTTCGGAAGGAGTGCCCAGAAAAGAGTGTTTTGTGGGGGTGATAGCAGAAACATATGTGAAGCTGGGATGTAGGCAGCTGTGGAGAGGGGCTGGCGTGGGGAGCATTCCATGCTTAGGGTCATGGTAGAGCCATGGCAGTGGGAACGTGGAGACAAGGGGCAGCCGTGGGAGCCTAACGCATAGGCATTCTGGAGCCTGTGCTGGGCATTGTGGGCCACACTCGCCTCTGTCTCCACTCTGGGAGCACAGCCTCGGACGAGCTGCAAACCAAGCAGCTGGCTGGGTTCTAGTCGAAGTACTGGAGAGTAGGTAGCCAGGGGTCCTGGAGGGCTTGGTCGCTTGGGCACCTGCCTTCTGCTCAGGTCGTGATCCCGGGGTCCTGGGATCGAGACCCACATCGGGCTCCCTGCTCTGCGGGAAGCCTGCTTCTTCCTCTCCTACTCCCCCTGCTTGTATTTCCTCTCTCTGTCATAAATAAATAAATTCTTTGAAAAAGACAGGTAGCCAGTGGCTGCCAATCTCTGAGTTGCAGTGTGAGGGGGCCAGAGGCCGCTGTGCTCTTCAAGGCCCACAGAGGAGCTGGGACGGCCTGGGAGCATCGGGACCACTGGCAGGTGGCCCGGAGGGGCTGGAGACCATCTGGAGCCTGGTAACCATGGAGACCAGCAAGGCTCTGGGTCCCCTCACTTGTGAACAGGGGTGGGGTCAGGACCCACTGCCGGGCAAGCGACCAAATGCCAGGAGCCCACAGGGCCTGTGGTTAGAACCAGGGCTTTGAGCTCAACGTGACTGGGCCAAGGGCCTGCGAGGTGTTCTCCTGGGGGAGCGTGTCCTCGAGGGTGTGTCCACGGGGCCCACGTCTGTGAGGGCGAGCGTGTCCTCAGTGAGCCCCTTGTTCCCCCAGGGTCCCCATTCGCCCGTGCCAGCCTCAAGAGTGGGAAGACGGACGGCTCGTCGTACTTCCGCAGGAAGGAGAAGATGTTTCGCTTCTTCATCCGCCGCGTGGTGAAGGCGCAGACTTTCTACTGGGTGGTGCTGTGCGTGGTGGCCTTGAACACCTTCTGTGTGGCCGTGGTCCACTACAACCAGCCCCAGCGACTCACCACGGCCCTGTGTACGTAGCTGCGGCCCGGCCTCCCTCACCTCCTCCCGAGCCGGCTGGCACCTGCAGCCCGGGGGTCCCGGTCCACAGCCTGTCGCCTTGGAATGCCCTGGGTAGGACCCAGCGCCGACCGGCGTGCCTCCAAGGGCCTCTGCTGAGGCCTGAGCTGCCCACCCCGGGTGCCGGGAGGCCTAGATGACTGCAACGGCTTAGAAACCCACCTGTCAGTGTGCTGGGAAATGAGGCAGGGCCCAGGGCGCTGGGGCAGTGGGGTGAGCTGGCCTGAGCTGGGCCCTGGGTCCTGTGTCCTCTCTGGGAAGGGCTTCAGGCCCATGGATTGGGGGACTTACCCCTCATTCCAGTCTGCCGGAGGCTGCAGCCCCTTCCCTGGCATCCTGCGGAGGAAGAGTCCTGCCTTCTCGGGCTCTTCGTGGGCTCTTGGGCTGCTTGCCGTTTTTGCTCTTTGTCCCTAACCAGGGCTGATTTGCCCATGTCCGTGAGCCTAAGGACAGGCCACGAGCATCTGAGTCATGGCTTCTTTTGGCCCTGGCTACATTCCAAGGAGGAAAGGAGGAAGGTAACCCCTCTCCAGGGACCAGGGCTGACCTTCTAGGACCAATGGTTCATACGCTAGGGCTCTGCAGGCCATGGGGAGCCTGGTCGGGGTCTGTGGTCCCACCTCATGAAAGCTATAGAGACGAAGGCTCGCAAGTAGTTTACAGGCTCGGGTCAGGCCTTCTGCCTTCCTGGGACCCGGGGTTAGCTACAGTAACCCTGCTTGGTGTCTGGGTCTGAGGTGGACACATGGCCTATTTTGGGTTCCCCTTGCTCTGTTCATGGGAGCCCGGTGTGCTTGAAGCCAGCTGACGTGGCAAGAGAGTCTTTCTCCCAGAGAAGAGCCTCCTGGATGTGAGTCCCAGCCCTGCCGGGCCAGTTGCGCTCCCCTCCGTCAGACCGCCGAGCCCATCAGCCCTAAGCAGGAGTTCGGGGCGCCCAGGCAGTGTTCTTAACGTGGTCCGGACTGATGTCTCCATGGCCCACCTGAAAATGGGGAGGGGGGTGGCAGCTGGGGTGCAGTTTCCCAGACTTGTACTGAAAGCTCTTGCTGTCTGAAGGGGAAGGATTAGGGGCAGAAGAAGCCAGGGGGTCCCCTGGGCGCTCCCGACAGGCAGCCTGGCTCGGGGTCCCCAGGGCAGCAAAGTGAAGTGACAGCCACTCTCGCCCCTAGTCCCTGTGTCCTGGGGTCTGTCCTTTGGTGTCTGGGGACTTTGCTTGGGACTGAGGTTAGTACTTCTCTCAGGACAAAGTCTCCTCCCCCTTGGGGGTTGGGTAGGGAGAAGGGAGGGGGGCTTCCTCTTGACCTGGCCCATGGTGTGGCTGTTCCCGGGGCTTCCTCGCCAGGCCTTTCCTTCCCATGGAAGAAGCTGATGGTGCCCTGGCAGCCCTGGGGTCCCTCCCGGTTTCCTGGGGGTCTGCCAGCTGAGCATGGGCTGAGATTGCCCAGGGGCTGGGCCAGGCCACAGGCATCCTTGGCCATGAGTCCTTCCCCTTGCTGCCTTGTCTTCTCTGTGGCTCCCCGGGAATTTCTAATTCATTGGCATGACCTAGGGCAGAGGTGGGTCTATGCAGCACTGGCCTGCCTGGGCTGCATGCCCTGGGCTCTGTCCCTGGCAGCTGGGCTAGAGCTGAGGAAGGCCGATCCAGCCAGGTAGGGCAGGTCTTGCAAGAGGCAGAGGCAGGGGCGGAGGTGGGGGGGCGTTCCCACCAGGACTAGCTTCCCTGGGGCTCCCCAGAGGGCTTGGCCCTGAGACTGGCCAGCCTGCAGAGAATGGGTTCTGGGCATGTCTGCTGTCTGTCCCTCCAGGATTCTCCCCCTGCCCCCCCGTGCCCACCAGAATGCCTGAGACGAGCTCAGCGGGGAGGAGGGAAGGGAGGCAGCTGGCCGTTGGGCCTCGTCCTCCTCTGAGGCCCCTGGCCTCACAAGACAGGCTTGAGCGCCCTCTCCTCCATCCCGCGTTCTCTTACGATGATACCAAACACTGTCCGTTCTCTGCCTCTGCTTCCCCCCTTGGCGTGTGACGGCTCAGAGAGAAGGGTCCGCTCTGTCTCCCCTGCGAGTTCAGAGCAGCACCAGCTTCTGAGAGCTGAACCAATTATTCAGGAGTGAACGAATGCATACCCCTTCTTGGCCTCGGAGGGGAGGTTAATCGTATGGCGCCGAGAGAGAGTGAAGAGCAGGCAGGACTGGGTGGTTCCTGGCTCCGGCTGCTCCCCTCCTCAGAGGACGTCTTACCATTGGCACCTCCAGTGCTGGTTCCCTGCACGGCTCTCACTTGGATCTCCTGGGAGCGAGACCAGTGACCGGACTGCCGGAGCTCCAGGGTCTGGCATGTGGGCGGGGGCTGTCCCGTCTTTGTGGCTTCTTCCTCTAGGATCTGAGCCCTCTGAATGGGGCAGGTGCTTTGTGACCTTGGGTGGAGGGCTCTGGGCCTCGGTGGCCGGGAGCCTGGGATCTGTGCGGGTTGCTGGGGTGTTCTGAGCTGGACTTGGGGGCAGGGTGGCACTCCCTACCCCTGTCATGCCTGCTGCTCAGCACAGCCCAGGTGTCAGTCGTGCAGGCCTGGCTGCAGTGGGCTCTTCTGCCTGGGTCCGTGGGCTTCCATGCCTGGGACACCGGCTTCCCAGCTTCTCCAGGGAGTCATCTGTGCCTTCTCCTTTTTAGCCTGGCTCAGTGCCTTAGTGAGTGCTTGGCTGGCTTCAGAGGCTGGGCGTGATTATCCCTGTGCTCAAGCCAGAGTAGGGGTAGTAGGGGTCCCACAGCTGAGACCTGGGGGCATACAGATCACTGTGTGTCTGTGTGTGGGCGGTGGGCTGGTGTTTTCTGCTCTCATGGAGTCTGGCTACTGTAGGTCCGCCCCTGGCTGTGGCTGCTGGGTCTTTGTAGGGTCATGCTTGGTGGAGGGGGGTGGAAGAAAGCAGATGTCGGGGTCCAGAGCTGTGGGGTACCCTCTTCTATTGTCTGTTTTATCAGAAGCTGCTTGAGCTCCAGTTTCCCACTGGTCTGGCTGCCAGAGGCCCCAGAAGGGTGGGTTGGTGACTTTCCAGTGACTGGACCCTGAAGCTTGCCGTCCACTCCTGCTCATGACCTGTACCCTCGGGCGCAGGCTCTGCCCCGAGTCCTGAGCTGCTTTCCTGGCCCCTGGCACTCGGGGACCAGAGGCCCCGGGGCCTGTGGGCCACTGTATGAAATAGCAAGCTGATTGCAGCCCAGGCCCTGAGGAGGAGGATCAGAGACAGTGACCTTGTTCTGCGGCCTGCACTTCCGGGTTTGGCCAGGGCAGAGCCGGCTGCGTCTCTTGCTGTCTGGTCGTCCTCGCCGTGTCACTTGGGCCAGGGCTGGTGTCTTGTGTGCCTGGAATTCCCAGCATTGCTCTCAGGTCCAGTGTGGCCTCCTGGTCCTGAGACCCTCGAGGGTCCACACTGCCAGGGACAGGACTCCGGGGTGAGGCAGGAGGGGGTGCCTGCAGGAAGGGGAAGGCACCCGCGGGAGCCTCTGTGTGACTCAGAGTGAGGGGGCGGCAAGCGTTGGCGGTTCCCAGGAGCCTCATGCTGGCCGGGCCAGGCAGTGCTCGGGGGGGAGGTGGACACACGAATGAGATGAAGACCAAACACAGTGGTGTGGGGGTTTTGAGGAGGTGTCTTGTGGAAAGACGGGGTGCTTCTGAGAAGGACACTGAGGGTCTCCACTGTGCTCAGGGCCCGGGGCGGGGAGCAGGCCTGCAGGCACAGGGATGGGTAGTGGGCCATTCTCCGGGGAGTGCTGCGTGGCCCCAGTCCTTACTCCTGAGCCCAGTCCCAGGACCTCACTTCCTGTGGAGCCCGTCTCTGGGCCGTAGGTGCTGGGCATGCACCCTATTTCAGACTGGAACCAGTTTCTCTCTGTGCCCCTCCCAGTCCCGACCCTGATCACTGTTCTCTGGAGCAGAGATCTCTGGGCTCAGGGGCCACAGACCATGCCTGCAGGGCTCAACCCTGGGAGGGCCCAGAGGTCTGGTGTCCTCCAGTCTGGGCTGGAGCCAGGTGGGAGGAGGCTGAGAGCTAATCCCCCTCTTCTCCGGCTTCTCCTAGACTTTGCAGAGTTTGTTTTCCTGGGTCTCTTCCTCACAGAGATGTCCTTGAAGATGTATGGCCTGGGGCCCAGAAGCTACTTCCGGTCCTCATTCAACTGCTTCGACTTTGGGGTGAGTGAGAGCCTTGTGAGCGGTGCCAGCTGGGGCCAGGCTGTAGAGAGTGCACACGGCCCACTCCTTGCTTGAGTGCACACAGCCTCCTCCTTGCTTGAGAGTGCACACAGCTCCCTCCCACTGGGCTGCACCCAGTGCATGCTGGGGTCTGGCCCTCAGGACCTGGAGGCAGAGTGTACGGTGCCCCTGTGTGTGTCAGGAAGGCTTCCTAGGGACAGGGAGGGGCGTTGGACCAAGGGGAGGCCTGTTCAGGCTCTGACTTATGAGGGGTCAGCAGCAGGACCTCCTCCATCCCACCCCTGATTCTGTCCATAGAATCTGTGTCTGGTATAACCAGCCTTCAAGTGTGGCCCTGCTCCCCAGATGGCTCAGTGTCCCTAGAGAGCTCAAGGGGGCTGTGAGCCCAACCCCTCACTGTCCTATAGATCTGGCTTTGGGCGGCTTGGACAAAGGCTTCAGGGGCGGCCTGACAGGGCCGTGATGGTCTGGCCCTCCTCGTGTGTGCTGGCCTGGGTCCCTTCACCAACCTCTGCAGGTCAGGGAGGCCTCAGAGCAGGTGTTCCCAAGACTCCCTGGGACAAAGCCCAGGAGGTTGCACAGGCTTTCCCAGGCCGAGGGCCATGGACGCCTCCCTGCTACCGTGCCCAGAGCCCAGGGAGGAGCTCCGACCCAGGGGAGGCCCCAGTGAGAAGTGGCTGTTCGCTCTGAGGAAGGCTCCTGCCTCTGCAGCACCCTGAGGAACCAGGGAGCCTGGGTGCAGGTGCAAGTAAATCTTCGACTGGAGCTTCACAGCGAAGCTGACTTTTCCCGTCAGTGGAGATTCAGGGCGATGCTGACAGGGCGTCAGTGGGGCTGACGGAACACTGTGTCTGTGGCTGTTAGACCTTCCGAAGGATGCCCACTTTGTGGACAAGGGGCTGCAGAGGTCGCTGCCCAAATAATTTGTGGAGGAGGCAGCGTGGACCCAGGGGTTCTGGCCCTGGAGAAGCAGGTGGTCACCATGCAGCACAGCCAGACCTTGTGGGGATGTAGGGCCGTGGCTGCCCAGGGTGCGCCCTGAGATGTTTCCTGAGATGGCTTCTTGTCCCCTGCTTCGTCATGGGGAAAGGCTGTGGTGCACACAGGCCAGAGGGACCTGGCGAGGGTCATGAGATCACCAAGAACCCTTGACCTTATAAATGTGTCTTGTCTTCTGGTTTGAACTAACGGGATCCCAGGATGTGGGAATGATTTGTGCCAAGGCGAACAAACTATTCCAGAATTTAGCAGCATAAAGTAAGTGTGTATTATCTCACTTATTCTGTAGGTCACGGGTCCACGCCTGGTTTATCTGAGTGCCTGTGGCCCAGGGTCTCTCGAGGTCACAGCGTGTCTGACAGCTGGGACACGGCCACTCCAAGGATTGAATAGGGCAGGAGAATTTGCTTTCAAGCTCGTCACATGGCTGTTGATGGGACTCAAGACTAGCTTCCAGGCTCACTCATGTGGTTGGTGGCCTTAGTCCCCAACACGTGGGTCTCTCCCCAGGCTGCCTGAATGTCCTTATGATGTGACAGCTTGTGATCTGAGAGAGAGACTGACAGTACCCAAGACAGAAGCCACAGAAACCCAGTCTCAGAGAGACGACCCATCAGTTTTGCATATTCTTTTTGTCAGGAACGAGTCACTTGGCCCAGCCCACGTTTGACAAGGGGTGGGAAATACTACCCAGGGACATGAACCCCAGGAAACAGGGTTGCTGGGGCCCACAGTCCACACTCTGGCCATTCCTGATGTAAAAGGCACCCATGTCCTCCCGCTTCCCTGGCTGCCTCCCATCTTGGGGTTGTCTTGGAGTCTCTCCATCCACACCAGGCCCAGGTGTGGTCGGGGAGCCCCACGAACAGTTGCCCAGTCCCTCCCCATCTGTGCACCCATGGAACTAGAGAGACAAATTGTCACCCACACGGTGATGAGATGGCCCAGATGGGCTGCTGTCAGCATTCCTGTTCAGAGGGGACAGTGGGACATACAAGGGAGTCTCTGGCCCACAGCTGTTCAGGAATCCGGTGCGGAGAAGTTGGAGGTCCTGAGATTAGTTCTGAAGGACTGGGATGCCCTTTGGGCTTCTGGTTTTGGCGTGTGCATCACCTTGCTCCAGGGAAGTGAGCACATGTCTTCAGCTGGGTGGTTCTCTCAGCCCACTTCCTCCCGGTAGAGTTTGAGGAATCCGAAGCCACTTTTTTGTCTTGTACTGTCGGTGTCCCTTTCAGCCCAAGCTGGTGATGTTTCTGCATAGCTCAGTCTTTTCAGAATGTTGTGGGTGTGCTGTGACCCTTCTGGCTTCCACTTGACAGAAGCTCCCCCAACCCCGACTCCTGTGACGGTCCCTTCCCCATGCAGTGTCCGTGCTGAGATGGCTGAGGCCAGCACACGTTAGTGCCCTGGAGGACTTGCTTCTTGTCAAGCTGATGGCCGGGGCCGTCTCTGTGGGGCTGGGCCCCCAGGGCGTTGCCATTGTACCCTGGCTTCCTCTGGACCGTGCCATTGCCTAACTTGACACCCTTTGCTGTCTGGAGAGGCAGAATGTTTCCAAAGCTGGCAGGTCCTGGCGGACAGCACTGCCCTCTGCCCTCTTCTCCACACCGGCTATGGGCAGCACCAGGACCCCAGGTCGCACCGGCAGACTCTGCTTGGCGATCTCTGAGACCTCCCGGTCCGTGCGGCAAACTTTGTTCTCTTCATACAGCTGTGGGCAGCGGTGTGGCCGAACTTCCTGCTGGCACCCAACAGGGCTCTGCCCGCTTTTCTGCAGTCCCTCCTTGTCCAGAGCCCATGGACACGCTGGGCTCACTGATGTGCAGTTCCATGCCTATTCTCTGGCTCTGAAAGCCACTCCAACGTTGGAGAGCGCCCCACTTCTGTCTCCAAAATGTGTATTGTTTTTTTCTTGATGCCTAACAAATTCCCTCAAAGTTTAGTGGCTTAAAACAACTGACACTGGTTCTCTCTCATGTCTGGGTGGGGAGTCAGGTGTGACTGAACAGGGGCCCCAGCTCTCAGTCTCCCACAAGACTGTAGGAACCATAGGCTCTTTGGGGCGGGGAGCTCACACCTAAGCTCCTGCTTGTGGCCAACGGCCCTCAGTCCCTGGTCACGGGGGCCTCTCCCCAGGCTCCCTCATGTTCTCCATCATGGCAGCTGGGGAGCTGCAGCAGTGCTGAGAGCACCAAGGAGGAAGCCAGTCGTTGTGACCGAGTCTCAGAGGTGACAGCCCATCACTTCCGCCAGTTCTGTTTGCTGGAAGTGAGTCACGAGGTCCAACCCATCCCTGAGGGACAGGGCTATACAAGGTGGGGTACCAAGTAGTGGGGATCCCTATGGGCCATCTCAGGGGCCGTCTCATGACCCACACTAAGAACACAGATTGAGGAAACAGTGAGCTCGAGCCCCAGACCAACGCCTGGCTGCTGTGTGCCTGTTGGAGGGGCCCAGGCTCACCGAGGACAGCCGGCGGCAAGCTTGGCCCCTGTGCTGTGCTGCCAGGTGCAGCTGCTGGGCCATCCTCTTGCTGGGCCGGTCGCTGTCAGCAGGACGTCAGCTGTGCTCTCAACAATGCTCCTGTGTTCAACGTGGAGACATATGCAGAGGGGGCTGTGGATGTGGGGGGACCCGTGAGCAGTGCCCCTGCCCGAGCAGAGATGTGGGTTAATGGACCAGCGGTAGACTACATGGGGGTCTCTGGTTGTGGCCGCGGCCATGGTCCTGGCATAGTCACCGGTTTCTCCGAGCCGCGCGCTGATCGGGTTTGCAGCAGGCTGGCTGGGAAACCAGTAGGCCGACCCTCGCTCTGCCTCCTGCGTGCCTGTGGTGTGTCCAGGCTGGGCGTGTTGGGGGGCAGGTGAGCACTGGGCCTGGGGCGTGCTCCCCGAGGGCAGCGGGAGCTCGTGTGCGTGGGGGCTCCCACGAGATCCCAGGTGCTTCCTGCAGAGGTGCAGGTGTGGGCCGAGTGGGCGTGGTCCTGAGGCGGAGCCTGTCCCCCACACAGGTCATTGTGGGGAGCATCTTTGAAGTGGTCTGGGCTGCCATCAAGCCAGGAACCTCCTTCGGGATCAGCGTCCTGCGGGCCCTCCGGCTGCTGCGAATCTTCAAAGTCACGAAGTATGTTACCCGTGTGCTCCCGGGTAGGGGATGGGGAGCACAGGTCACGTCTGAGACTGAGCCGCACTGGCGCCTGTTACCAGGAACGTGTGGTGCTGGCCTCGAACCCAGCTGTCTGGAATCTCTTTTTGTGCTTGTAATTGGCTTAAATACGGAAGAGTTTACTGAGCGCCCGCCCAGCGCGGGTTGTCTCGGCCGTGGGGGCCGCATCTGTGCTCAGGCTTCTGCAGGCTTCCGTGCTGCCGGCAGGCTCCCCAGTTCTCCTGAGCTCGCTTCCCGCAGCTTCCTACTCTCCCTTTTTGAAACCAGCAGTCCCTTCTACTTTGTTTCATCGTCAACTGAGAAAAAAGAAATGATCACGTGGAAGTTTTTTTCCCATCATCCTGCCCCAAGTCTGCCCCCTCCGGTCAGCCCCGACCCCAGGGAGGGAGGGAGGCCTCAAAGGACTCTGACCTTCTGCCCTGAGCCAGCTTGGTCCCTTCGGGGCTTCCTTGGGGGCTGCGTTCCCAGGCCGGCTTTCTTGCCCTGTGCCTGTCGCGGTCTGCTGAAGCGGTGGCAGGACGACAGCCACGGGCCTGTGTCTTCTGTTCTATCCCACTGGGTCCCTTACATAACCTGGATGCCAGTCGCTCCATTTTGTCTCCGACGGGGCTGAGGCCAAGGCGGCAGAGTGATGCTGCTCCTGCGCGGGTGCGGGCCCTCTGCCAGGGTTCTAGTGCTGGGAAGAGGGGGCGCGTCTCCCCCAGCAAAGGCCACCCTGCACTCAGCAGGTCGGGGCGGTGGGCACACAGCACAGCAGGGACCACGCCTACCCTGAATCCTGGACTCCTGCTGCATGAGTGCGTAGCCCACACACGCTCCAGCCCAATTTCCACGCGGTCTCCCCAGCAGCTCTGCCAGTGGCAGGACCCAGGGAGAAGAACTGTCAGCAGTGAGCCTGTGCATGGGGCCCTGGGGCTCTAGGTCATCCCTGCAGTGACCTCTCAGAACCCCACGGATCTCCCCAGGGTACAGGGGAATTCTGGTCTCTTCCAGTCTGTTTTAAATCCCAGCCTGAGACCACTGGAGGACACAATGATGTCACTGCAGGAGAGTCTGGGGCAAGACTTGGGCCCAGCTGGGTCCACGAACCCTGCTGGGCGTCTCTTGGGCCATGCAGCCAGTCCTGTCATGTCCCCGTGCCGTGAGGTGACCGCGAGAGCACTCTTCACCCTGCTTGCGGGGACTGGTGTTTGAAGGGCTCTGATTCCTTCCAGAAGCCAGGCTGCTGTCTTGAGGTGGGCTGGCTTTTCCAGAGTTTTCCAGCCCATCTTCCGTGAACCCTCAAGGGCCTCGTAGGAGAACCCATGGAAGATAGGCGAGCCTCTGTGCTGTTGGCACTTGGGAGGACAGGACCTGGGGGCCCAGGGATGTGCAGTGACTGCTGTTTGTCTTGCCACACCCACCTTCCCAGGCCGGTGGAACTGCCGTGCAGAGACACGGGTGTGTAGTGTGTTTTGAGCTGGCTGGAGGCAAAGTGCCCCCGCCTCTTCTGGGGAGGAGCTCTTCAGACGTGGGCAAGGGGTTGGACCTGCGGTCACCCAGCGAGTGAGCTCTCGACAGTCAGCCTACCGCAGACTCCAGTGGGACCTGTGTGCCATTGGGTCCTGGTGCATGAGATGCACCCGGCGATGTGGCCTCTGGCCTCCAGGAGCATTGTGGGAGTGCGATGGAGGGTTGGGCACCGTGGGACGCCAGGAGATGGTCTTAGAGTGCCACCCCGCATCCACGCCGCATCCTGGGCCCACGGGGGAGGGGCGTTCACACTGGGTTATGCTGGTCGTGGGCTGATCACCTGCTGCAGCTGCTTCTCCCCTTGTCGTCCTCGTGGAGGCGCCCGGAAGCTGCTCGGGAGTTGGGGGTAGAGAGGGAGTGGGCACCATTCCGCCAGGCAGAGGGATGGGCAGGTTTGGGAGATGAGGGTGAGTCGGCCGCCCCCTGGAACCCCCAGGGGAGGGGTCTGGAGCTCCAGGGATGTGCCCTGGGCTCCAGGTGTGGGGTCCGGGAGCTCAGGAGGTCCCGGAAGGCACAGGGGTGACTGTGAGAAGCCCGGGGTGGGGCGTGGGCAGGCGGGTGGGCGCAGCCGGCATGGACAGGACCCCCTGCCTGACAGGTACTGGAGCTCCCTGCGGAACCTGGTGGTGTCTCTGCTCAACTCCATGAAGTCCATCGTCAGCCTGCTCTTCTTGCTGTTCCTCTTCATCGTGGTCTTCGCGCTGCTGGGCATGCAGCTCTTCGGGGGCCAGTAAGTGGCCCGGGTCGCTGGGGGCTGGGCTCCCTCCGGGGAGGCGGAGCTCGGAGCAATTTGCTGCCCGGGCCCCCTCCGCCTGTCTTCCGCCTGGAGGTCCCCCCAGGGGGACGAGGGTGCCAGGCACATAGCCCACCCGCAGCCTGGGACAGCACTGCAAGTTGAGGTGCCTGTCCCCTGGCTCCTGATGGGGCAGTCTCCTCCCAGGACTTCTTGTTTTTCTCAGGTTCAACTTTAACGATGAAACCCCAACAACAAACTTTGACACCTTCCCCGCAGCCATTCTCACCGTCTTCCAGGTAAGGCTCCAGGCCTAGGGGAAGGCAGACTTCCCGGTCAGTGTCTGCACCCCCAGGATGGCCAACGTTTCAGACAGAACTTGTTCCCCAGAAGGGAACAAGTGGGAGATAAGCCTAGGGAGGTCTCCAGTCCCTGGGACTTTGCCATCAAATCCAGAGCCTGGGTCTGGAGAGAAACTGGGTCCCAAGAAGCATGTGTAGTTCCCTGGGGGACTCAAGGGTCCTGTGGCCACTGGGCGTCAAGCGACCGACGTGTCCCCCAACGCCTAGGACCTAGAGTCCCAGCTGTCTTTTACGCTCTGTGAAAGACACAACAAAGCACACCCATGCTTCTCCCTCCTGTCTGTCAGGCCCAGGGGTCCTTTAGTTCTCTTTTGTGTCTGGAGAAGGTGCCTGCCACGGCTCCTGGGGAAGCCAAGGCTCTGGGCCCAAGTCATCTGTGAGGCAAACCTTGTCACTCAGGCCGTCTTTGCCCTCTTGGAGGGGTTTCCTTTTGGAGACTCTCTTGGTTGAGCCGTTTGCCCCCTTGCAGGGCTGCAGTGCCCCTGGTGCCCGCTATGCCTGGCCCCACCGGTAGGATAGTGCCAGATGCTTCTGTCTTATGAAGCCTCCTTCGACACCATGCTTGCAATTGAGTGGGTCGGGGCAGGTTGTTGTTTTGCCCAGGATGACGCTTAGGGAAGCCCAATAGGCCATGTGTGCTCAGGCTGGGGTCTCAGTTTAGCCCCTGGCCTCTGGGGCTGCCCTTGGCCTCCAAGCTGGGGCCCCTTGCAGAGGGCGGCCACAAGCTTTCCTGTTCAGTGCGCTCTGCTCAGTGATGGTGATGGGAAGGAGCTCCTTCCTGCTGTGGGGCACCGGGGGTGCCCTGTGGGATCTCGAAAGTCAGGCAAGGAGGCTCGGCAGGAATGTGTCCAGACACCACGGTAGGAAGGTGAGTAGGGTCAGGGCAGCAAAGGCACGGGGTCCGTGGCAAAAGGATTGGGGCTGGTGGATGTCAGCTTGGACGGGCCTTCCAGGCCAGGCCAAGCGGCTGCGTCCGGCTGGCACTGTCTCAGAGGCTCGCAAAGCAGGGAGGTGACGTGACCCACAGAGCTCTGCTTTGTTCTCTTGCAGGAAGGGAGTGGGATGTGGTCGGTTAGTGGTGGTGGTGTGGGACAGAGGGGAAGAGGGAGCCAAATTTAGAGGAAACTGATGGGCTCTTCTAGTCAGATGGTGTTCTGGTTTGGACCTCGGACCCCTCTGCTCTGGAACACAGCAATGAGGTAATAAATGCATCTAGAAATTCAAAGGAGCCAGCCAAGTAGAAAACAAACTGTGGCTGGAAATGGAACAGTGAGGAGAGATGCGGAGACCGGGCTGCTGGGCTGTGGTCTGAGTGAGGCAGACGGGCTGGAAGCATTGCTGTGTGGCCTGCCCGATGAGGGGCTGGGGAAGGTGTGTGACCCTTTGAGGAGCAGAGCTGAGAGAAGGTGACCACGGCTAGAGGAGCCCGAGAAGGTCACAGGGGCAGATGGCTGTCCAGGCCAGGCCTGCACTTTCCATGGACGGTGCTGGGCCAGGGCCCGAGACCCCAGGATGGTGAGTGCTCTTGCTTCTGAACGGGGCTGGAAGGGGTAGGGAGAGTGTGTGACCAGGAAGAAAATAACATCAGGTCCGCTCATGGCGAGTGTGCAGACTGATCCGTGGTGATGCTAACCCCATGAAGAGGGCCGACCCCTGCAGTCGGAAGGTGAGCTCGCTCCTGAAGAAATGGGAGTAAGAGCATGGCACAGGTGACTGAGACCCATGTGGTGGTCGAGGGAGAACTTGTAACCCATAAACAAAATTATGAAAGAAAATACCTGAGAACCAAGAGCAAGTTAATATGAAAAAGAACTAAGTAGAAATCCTAGGTGTGGAAACTACTGCTGCGTAAATAGAAAAGTAAAGGTTAAATTATACCCCAGACACGACCAAAGGAAGGGCAGGTGAGCTGGGAGATGTGGGGGGACTTAGGGGTGAAGCTCCCATGTCGGGTGAGAGAGGGGGCTGCCAGCGCTGTTCCTGGCGAGTCTGAGGGCTGAGTCCTCGGGGGGCCAAGCAAGATGAACAGAAGTAATGTCAAACCTAGATGTGTTGTGATGAAGAGAAAATCTTAAAAATGACCCTAGAAAGCGTCTCCCCACAGAAGAATGACAGTCTGAGGGTCGGGGAGGGAATGTGAAGTCCTGGTGTCGGGCCACCATGGCCCCAGCATATTGGCTGAGAGAGCCGGGACTCAAGCACAAGGGGGAGCTGGCCGTGTTCAAACGCAAATGCGGAGGGTTACCAACCGCCCGGTCGCCGAAAGCACCACAGACTCCGTATGTTTAGTAAAACCAACGACTTAGAAGAAAAAAAAATAACATTACACTAACCCACGAAGAAATGAAAGACCTGAAGTATTTCAGAAATTGAATGATTAAAAATCTGCTTACCCAAGCCGCCATGTTCTGGTAATTTTATGAGTGAATTCTATGAAAATTTAAGAAAGACGTTATTCCAGTTGTATGTGGATGACTCCAGAAAAGACAAAAAGGAAGGTACTGGCTGGCTTTATGAGTCTAGAATCACCATGATAAAAAACCCTCACCACGCTAATGTGGATCTGCTGCTTGTGACTTACAGGAAGAGACCACAGCCGGGGGTGGGTGTAACACAGCGGAAACTTTTACTGCAGTAAATAAGGAGATCACAAGGAATACTTCTCAAGCCAGGACTCCATGTAGGGGTGAGCGGGTTCCTTTGGGTTAGGGTTCAGATGAATATTCAGAAAGGGGAGCTTTGTCAGTGGATAGGCTTCTCCCTGGGGAGGAGGAAGGCAGCGGGCATAAGGTCACACGTGCATACTCAGGACACACGCACCGTATGTTGTGCTCATGGGGTCTGGGCTCCAGCGTGAAGTGTGACTGCAGACGGCACAGGACAATTTGGTTAACCACAGAACACAACAGGAAATGGGGTCCTACTTTGTTCCATATTTGAAATGAGTTTGTAGACTAAGACCTGAATGTGAAGAGCAAATCTGAAATTTTAGAAGGTGCACAGGAGTGTAACAGCACCAACTCAAGGTAGGGAAGTCCTTCTTAACATACAAGAAGCACAGATCATAAAGGAAAACATTGACAAATTTGATGGCTAAAATAGACCTTTCTGTGCATCAAAAGACACCATGAAAAGGTTTTAAAAAAGTCATAAACTTGGAGAAGACATTTCCACAGTATTAGAATAATCACTGACGTGTCCAGGTCTGCCAGTCAAAGAGAAAAGACAATGTCCTAGCGAGAGACAGAGTGTAAACCTGCGGCATCTCACAGGAGGGGAAGCTGGGCTGACGAAAAAGCCTGTGAGAACCATTACTAGTGCTGCTTGAGATGCAAGTTAGACCCACCACGAGACAACCTCTCCACCCGTCAGCGGTGCAGAAGTTAAGAAATCCAATACCAAGTTTTAGGGAAGATGTGGAGAAATGGAGATTCCTCTATGCTCGTTGGGTTGGTCGCCCACTGGGGTAGAGTAATGTCATAAAATCTAATAACTAGAACTTGCATATGCGTGCTTCCTGTTGTGGGTCTGTGCTCTGCAGCGTCTCCTGCCGGGCCACACAAGGAGACGGGAGGCGTGGGAGATGGCATTGCAATGTTCCTTAGAGGAGCAAATAACTGGGTGTTGCCAGCGATGCCCATTGTCACAAGCACGGATAGGAAGAGTGTGTTGTGGTTTCTGTACAGCAGGAACACGAATGACCTAGAATTAAATGTGTTAACTCGGATGGATCTCACAAGTATAATATTAGGCAAAAAAAGAGCAAGATTCAGAAAAATACACAGCATATGATACTACTTAAATAAGGATGAAAACATGAAAAACAGTATCGTCTATGGCATCTATGCAGTGAAAACGGAAACGCTTGCCTGCGAATGAGGAAGACTGGATGCAGGCGCCGTGCCGCTGGGAGGCTGGGGGCGTTCCAGTGGGGGGATGCCTCTCCCTTTGACGGCTCTCAAGCCCGGTAGTCGGTACACGGAGGTCTGCTGGGAATTCCCCATCGTTCCTTTCTAAGTGTTTGAAAGAGGACTGAAATAAAGTGTTGAGGGATACAAAAAGGTAAAGTAGAAATCATCTGCAAGAAAGCTGGTATGATACTAAGATCAGCCAAAGTTCAAGTTAAGGGAGAAAAGCTTTGGTAAAAATGAGTGCGTTCCATAACAACAGAAAGAAGGCAGCGATCGTGGGCCAGCATGACATCATAGCACCCTGAGCAGCAACGGATAGAAGCCCGTGGACGTACCCACCTCACACGAGGTTTGGGATACGTTTCTGTCGAAACGTAGGATGAGGTGAGGTCTGTGGAGCTCTTCACCCAGTGGACAGCGAACGAAATAGTCTTCATTTGGGACACAGAGGACGTTCATGGAAACTGACCACTTGTTAAGTCACCCAGGAAATTCCTACAAGTATTGAGGAATTGTCATCCTGTAGAGCACATTCTTAATGGAATGTAAATAAACATATCATGTGTAAGAAGTTGTTTGAAACCTTCCCCAGATTTGAAAGCTGAAGGCCCGAGCTAAACAAGACTCCACAACAGACTCACAAATGGTTAGATGTGAATTATGACATCCAGACTTATGGAATGAGACGGAAGCGATACTTAGAGGAAAACCTACAACTTTAAATGCAGTCATCAAAATAAAAGGAAGACTGGAAATAAAGTAGTGATGTTCTTGTCTTAAAAACCTAGAAAAGTGAACAGGTAAACAAAAGAAAAATTGAAAGCAGGAAAAAATGGTTAATAACACAAAACTAAAACACCAAAATGGCCAAATCGTAAAAAACTTGCTGTCGGGGGGACTAATACAGTAGACAGCATCTCGGCAAGACCGGCCAAGAGAGAACGCACAGATGAAAACTAGAGACTGGGGGGGGGGGAGGCATGCCTGCAGGGAAGGGAGAGATTATTTTAAGTCCCCAAAAATATTATGGCCAGAGATTTGAAAACTAAGGGGAAACATGCACTTTTATAGGAAAAACTCAAACACATAAATTAGCTCAAGAAGAAATTAAAAACCTGAATAGCATTCTAACCTGCCCTGGGCCTGGCACAGGTATAAGGTGATGTCCTACCTTAGATGTCCTACCTTAATGTCCTACCAAGGACATAAAATTCACTTGTGCTGCTGAACACGAGACCAACAAACAAAAATATAGCTTTCCTGTGACTTAACCATTCGGTTGAAAAATTCAATTAAAATGAAATATTTCATTCTAGAGGCAACAAAAGCTATAAGGCACCCAGGAATCTAGAAACAGTATGTAAGCCTTTTATGGGGGAAATTATGACTTGTTATCAAAGGGCCTACAGATCTGGGTACACAGGGGTATATTTATAATGGGGAGGGAGGCCCAAAAGTGGCAAAGGCATCTGTTCTCCTAATTTAATCTCTTGGAATTCAGCATATTGATAACGCGGAAGACTCAGCATCCAAGAATCGCCAAGACAATTCAGGAAGGTTTGCCTTACCACGGGTGAGAGTTTTCACGAAGCTACGGTGGGAGGGTTGGGATACGAGGACGAAACATCAGGAGAGCAGCCGAGAGAAGCCAGAAACATGGCCAGGCTCAGTGGGAGGCTGGCCACAGCTGGAGGAGGGGCCCAGGATAGTTTAAGCAGTAGGTGTGTAAAAGCTGGCTTTCCACTGGGGCAGAACGTCGGTCTTCATCCCCACGCGTACCCAGAACAGGAAACACAGGCTCTAGTTGGATTAAAAACCTAACTGTGAGAAACCATACTCTACAGTGGTTTGAAGAAAATACAGAAGAGTATTTTTATTGCCTTCTAACGGAGAGGAATTTCTTAGATGCGTGGCACTTGGTCATAAAGCAGAAGCCGGGAGCTCTCCAGTGAGTAGTTCCTGCAGACAGAGGGCGGGAGCGAACGGGGACACTCTCGGAGGTCTCGAGGTCAGGGCGAGGAAGACCAGGCGTCTGGGGAGGCCCTGGAGGACGGCCCCTGACCAGCTGGCCCTCTCGCTCCTCAGCCAGCAGCAGCGTCCCCGCAGGCGTCGCCTAGGACGCCTCTCTTCAGGGCAGAGGTGCACGTGGCCTGCCTCCTGGCCGTCCCCGGTGTGGGCAGACCTTCCGTGCGTGCGGTGAGACTTGGCTGCACAACCTCGGGGAGAAGGAAGGCAGCGGACGTGTGGGGGAGGGCCTGAGGGACACTGTGCGCTGGGGGTCGGGAGTCAGGGGGTCTGTGTGCCTCGTGTGCGTGGACTTCAAAGATACGATCCTGGGTGAGGACGGCAAACCGATGAGTGGCGTGTGTCGTCTGACGCCTTCCCGGGAGTGTTGGAACATGCGTGGTGAGTTTGCTTCATAGACACGTGTGCCGTGTAAGTGGAATTCTACTGACATGGTTCCTCACCAGGTTTGTGATTGGATCATCTGTCGGGAGTGACCACGGCCAGTGGGACCTGATGCCCACGGGACAGATGTGAGCAGTGTCCATTTTGATGGGTGGACACGTGAACGTCTCTTACGTTCTCCTCCTGCACTTTCCCACATATACGGCAGCAAGGAGAGACCTGTTTCCTGACAGGCAGGGACTGCGTCCAGCCACCCTCTTTGCTGGACCCACCGTCTCCCAGACAACATCATGGCCCAGGAGGCTCTGGGGGTGGGAGTCTGGCCTTCCCAGCCCAGCCCCCTTTCCCCAGCTCAAGGCTACGGTTCTCCTCCTTGCCTTTGCCCACCTTTCCCTTCGCCTTGGTGCTTCCTTCTGTTTTTGGCCAAAAAGCTGAAGTGTATGCGTCTCCCGGGGCCTGTGTCTTTCTGGAAGTTTCTCTGGAGGACCGTGGGCCACTTTGCCCTCCAGAAGCGCTGTCCTCTAGCAGCCTGTGTGTGTGTGTGCACATGTGCCCCTGGGCTCTAGGGACACAGCCGTGTCTTGACCCTGAGCGTGCACCTGCGTGTGCCCGTGGGCGCAGGTGGTCAGGCAGGCGTGCCCTGCGGTGCTATTCCCCACAGATCCTGACGGGAGAGGACTGGAATGCAGTGATGTACCACGGGATCGAGTCGCAAGGCGGAGTCAGCAAAGGCATGTTCTCCTCCTTTTACTTCATTGTCCTGACGCTGTTTGGAAATTGTATCCTTCTCTGGGGCTGGGGTGCAGCATGGCTAGTGCTTGGTCTGGGTCTGCCTCTCCCTCCCCCCCGCCCCGCCCCCGTGGGAACGGTGCGGCTCCTCCCACAGGGGGACTGGCTTAAGTCTACACAGGGAATGTTCTGCAGGCAGCCTGAGCTGGGGGGATCTGGAGGCTGAGGGAAGCACGTGCCACACGTCGGTCTGCAGAGGGGACGGGACGGTCAGGGGCAGGCGCGGGAGGGACGCTGTGGGGAGACATGGGCTTTGAACCCTGATGGCCGAGGGTCTGGTCTTGTTTTGTTGGCCCACTTTAATTCAGTAACTAAATTTTGGCACTGGGCTTTTAAAAAACTGCTCCCTGCTGAACGTATCCTACCCTCAGAGAAATACGCAGCGAGGTTTCCCGTGCTGGGAGCCTGTTGGGCTCATGTTTCAGGACCTCGGGCCGGGAGGTTGTGTGTGGGGCCAGGGAAAGCCCAAGAGCTCCGTGGCAGCTCTGCCCTCAGTCCGGCCGCCGGGGAAGAGGAGGCTTCAGGGTCAGGACGTAGGAGGAGTGTAGTGGGCCAGGAGAGGGGGCGTGGATGTGGGCCCACTGCCTGGGAGGGAAATCCAGGCTGAGCAGGGACACTTGGGTCCTTAGAGTCTTCTGTACATCAGAGCCCCCGAGTGGTTGACGTGCAGGTTCCAGCCCACAAGGATGACGCCACAGGCTCCCCGGAGTGTGCTGGTTCTGAGGCGGTGGCCGGGGGCGCCACTCAGAGACCGCTGCCCTAATACCCTGCAGGGCCCGGAGAAAGGGCGGAGCTGGCCCAAACAGGTGTGAGTCATCTTCTCCCAGACCGCCCTATGGCTCTGCCCTATTTCCCCACACGCACACCCGGACACTTGACCCTGTTTGTCTCTCCTTGCCCCTGCCTGGCTGGCTCTCCGCTGGCCTGGGACCCATGACCCTGCAGGCCTCCATTCACACCATCTGTCAGCTCTGGACCCCACGGCAGGGAGTCCTGCCTTTGTGGGGGCAGGAAACCCAGTAAGGAGGAGTTGGGGGGGGTTGGGGGGGGAGTGTTTGTTTCACTGTTTAGCAGGTGGGTGGGACCTGGGGGTGGCTGACAGGAAACCCGGGAGTGGCCACCAGGGTTGTTGGAGAGGGAAGGAGCCTGCAGTGTTGACTCAAATGGTGGGGGTAGGGGTGGGGAATGAGTGCTGTCCAGAAGGAGGTACCGCCCCCCCCCCCCGAGACCGAGCAGTGGCCTGGAGCTCATCACAGCTCATCCTGACCCTGCACGGTCAGGCCGGGGGTGTCTGTGGTCAGGCCTTGTGCTGGCCAACGGGCGTCATTCCCTCTGCCTCTGTTCATCTCTCCGGCTGGGCCCTGAGCTCTGGCTCCTGGCCTTAGACCTGCTCTCCAGGTGTGGGAAGGCCTCTGAGGTGCTCGTGGCTGGGTTAGTGCAGGAAAGTGGACCCTAGCCTCGTGTCCCGTCCTCTCATCTGCTGGAGCCCTGAGCAGCCTTGCCTATGAGGCAGTACCAGGGTTCATGGGTCCCCTTGAGTCTCAGGGGCATCTCCCTGCCAGACTGGGACCTGACCAGCCACAGTCATCGCTGCTGGCCTTCTACAAACCTGCTGCTCATCACGGTTGGCCCTGGTGGAAATAGCTGCACCTGGGTTGGGTTGGGGGTGGTGCGTCCCCAGGCCTGTGGGGAAAGAGCTCTGTGCCGGGGCTCTGACTGGGGTGACCATTCCCCCAGAGGACACCGGCTGGATCTGAGATGGTGTGGTTGCCCTGGGGAGGGGCTGCTGCACCCTGGTGCTGGGCAGGGGGTTACAGGTGGTTTCCAACATACCACGCAAAGGGTCGCCCCACTCCAAATGTCGGCAGTGCTGAGGGATGAGGTGACGGGGGAGGGCCCAGGTCTGCTGGAACAGAGTGCAGGGACGGGCTGGTCCTGGGGACATGCTGCCCCGAGGCACACAGGACAGGAGCTTGTGGGAAGAGGCGGCAGCCCAGTCCGCTGGTCTTGGCTGTGTCTGGGGGTGACGGGCCAGTGGAGCAAGGGCACTGGAGGGGCATGTGGCCACTAAGGGAAGGAGGCTGAAGTCTTGTCAGGACCTGGGGAGAGGGGGCCCAGTTCTGCACGGGGGAAGCTGGGCTGTGACTGTGGGAGGCTGGGGGCTGGGGCAGAAGGTTCCCTTCCTTAGCTGGAGCCAACCAGACACTCTGCTGAATGTCTTCCTGGCCATTGCTGTGGACAACCTTGCCAATGCTCAGGAACTGACCAAGGTACGTGCATAGGGACACGGCCCACAGCCCATGAGGGACGGGGGGGGGCAGCCACCCGTGTCCCACTGCGTGGGTCCAGAGGGCCCCGCAGAGGGCCAGTCCAGGGTTAAGGACTCATGTGACCACTGTCCGGGCGAGTCTCCTCAAGGTCGCAGGCAGGTGGGAGTTAGGCTGCCGCTCGGGTGTGGTGATGGTGTGGAGGAAGCGTGAGAGACGCCAGGGCAGGAGGGGCAGCTTGTGGAGAAGCCGCGGCCTGGAAAGAGTGGCCGGAGCAAGAGGTGCCGCCCAGAGAGAGCCTTGAGGAGTGGGGGCAGACTACTGGCCTGGGGGGACGGACCGTGACGTGTATCAGGAGATGTGGCTGCATGAAGTGGCAGGTTCCCCTCTGCCAGAGCCGCGCGTGCGGTGGAGACCCTGAAGAAAGGTGTGGGGTCCCTGTGCTCATCCCTGGGCGGCGAGGGGGCCCCGGCGGTCAGTCCTGAGTGTGCATGGTTGAGCTGGGGCGGTCGCCGGGCAGTGCTGTTCTTCAAGGCTGGGCCTGGCTGGCTCCAGCGGGATCAGCTGCTGCCTCCTTGTCGGCGGGTCTGTGGCTCAGCAGGACGGCCTCTCGTCCCGGCGGGGGCCCAGTGGGCAGCCTCTAACACTCATCTCTCATCCTGGAGCCTGGCAGGCGGTGTGATTGTACACGTCCTCCCCTGTGGTTTCCTTCCCGAGGACACAGCCGTGGATGGGGCGGCTGGCTCTCCCGCGGTTCGGCCTCAGGCCTGTGCTTTGAACGAGCCCCAGCTCCTGGTGCAGAGGGTCCGGCCGCCTGTCGGGCCCCCTGCAGCAGAGACCCCGCGTGCTTGCTTTCTCGGTGGAGTGCGTGCCCTGTGTGTGTCCCTCTCTGTGCACGTGCCCGTGTGCTGGAGCTCACCCGTGTGCACACCCCTGCGTGTGTCTGCTGCGGTCCAGCACAGCTTGCAACGCCATTGCTGTCCTGGGGCCCAGCTAGACACAGGCCTTCCGTGAGGAAGGCAGGTGTGGGATGAGTCTGCTCTCCGCAGAGGGGCCGCTTGGGCCCAGGGCTCCCGACCGTGCAAGCCCTGCAGGGCCCCCGCCGCCCCCTCCCTGCTCTCTGGAAGATGGGCTCCTGCTGGAGGAAGGCCTAGTCACGTGTCTTCCTTTGCTTCTGCTCAGACTGCCTCTTCTCCCAACCCAGGCTGAGGCTGTGCTGGTGCCTGTGGGTAGAGATGCCTCCCTTGCTCTGGCTGCTGCCTTCTGAGGACGTGGAAGTCCCACTGGCCTGCTCATTTCCATGTCAGCCTGGGCGAGACGGGCTCAGCCATCCAGAAGTTGCTTGAGAGTGACAGTCTGAGACTCCTGGCTGGGCTGCTGGGGTGGGGCCAGGGGGCCCTGCATCCACAGAGCACATCTTGGGGTCCGGATTTCCGGGTCCCCAAGAACTGGTGGTGCCCAGGAGCCCTGGTGGTCTGAGCACTGGCTGTCTTGGGGCAGGGGTGAGCTTGCGTCTGAAGTTGTCACTGTCTCTTCCAGCTGTGCTGCAGTGAGGACACACCAGGAGGCCATGTCCTTGGGGCCCTGTCTCCATGCACAGACAGCCTGTGTGATGGCCCCTTGGGGCCATCTGCCCCAACTCAGGAATTCCCCTAACGTGGCAGCTGGGGCAGGTAGAGACCTAGCTGTGTCTGGCTGGAGGGCTTCTGGGTCCTTCCTGTACGTTCCCACAATGTATTACAACATCACGTTCTTTTCAAAGTGGAAATAAACTGAGTGGAGTCTCTAGAAACTCGCCCTTTGGCCTGGAGGGCTGGGGACGAGGATGGCATCTACAGCTTGAAGAAGGGCCTTGACAGGGCTTCTGTGGTAGATAGAGTTTGCCTGCTCTGTGGATTCTGAAGCTTGAGGACCTCTTGCTGGGAAGTCTGCAGGCAGCTAATGGTCTTAGTTCTGGCCATTTGGGGGGCCTCTAGGAGAAAATTTATGGACATTTTGGGCCACAGTGGGAATGTCACTTTCCATGGAAGCCAGGTGGGCTCGGGATTGGGGTATTTGGGGAAATACGGGTGGTCTCTGCAGTCTAGCTGAGTGACATGGAGGCCTTAGTTTCCCTCCGTGGGCCCACGGCACAGCCCCGAGCTTTCTTCCAGATCCCAGGAGCAGAGCATGTTGGTTCTTCCTGGAGACCTGGGGTCAGACCAGAGGGTCTGCCTAGATGTCTACTGTCCTTCTAATGGGAGGCAGAAGCAAGGTATCTGCACGTGTGTTGGAGAGTTGCGGGTCCTCCCCAGGAGCTTGGTGGTGGAGGGAACACAGGCACTGTGAGTGGCTGTCCAGGTGGACACAGGGAGGGACTTGCCACAGCCACAGCTGGAGACAGGTAGACACATGTGACCTGATGGGTCCGAGGAGGAAGAGCTCAAAGGCTAGGAGGTGGTCCTGCTAGATCTACTCCTGCTGATGATTCCTGTGAGTGATGTGGGGCCGGGATCTAGGCTCAGGGTGCAGAGTTCTGCCCCTTGCCTTTGCTCACAGCTTCGGGGCAGAGGCTTTGTTCAGGTGGGACAGGTTCTCCTCAGGCGGAAGGGCAGTGGGTGGGGGAAAGGAGGATGGATTTGCATTCTGACGGCGCCGAGTGGGAAGTGTTGTGGGACAGACACGCAGGCAGCAGCTGGGTCCCTGTGGCTGGAGCTCACAAGTGGGGTGGACGTCACCAGCTGTGGCACCCTGGCGGATGGCCCATAGCAGGTCTTGAGGCAAGACTCTTGGGGACTGTTGCCTTGAGTAGCAGGCATAGAAGGGGGTCCCTGATGGCTGCCAGAGAGCTTGTGTGGAATTGGTGCTCAGGGCTGGAGCCGCTGCCCGGCCCCCAGGTGCAGAGGGCAGGAAGGACTTACAGGCCACGGCGGGTGGTGGGGAGAGCTGATGTGGTGAGAGTAGACGCATCACACTTCTGTCTGTTCAAACAGGATGAAGAGGAGATGGAAGAAGCAGCCAATCAGAAGCTTGCTCTCCAAAAGGCCAAAGAAGTGGCTGAAGTCAGTCCCATGTCTGCCGCCAACATCTCCATCGCTGCCGCGTAAGGCTCTTGGTGGGGGGGAAGGCAGGTGGCGGGGGTCGCTGCAGTCTTGGGCTGGGTCCTCCACAGAGCGTTCCTCCTGGGGGCTTTCTCAGAATCCCTTATATTGGCTGGAGCTTCTTAGGACGCAGCCCCCAGGAGCCGTGATGCGAGGGAATGGCTCCCCTCTTGGCTCCCTTCCTGCAGCAGCCCGCGAGCAGCGTTCGCCGGGAAGAGCCCTGTGGCTTCTCCCCGTTCCAGGTGGAGGGAGGCCTGGCAGCGCGTGGCCCTCTCTCTGGGGGTCAGACCGGCTCTGACTTGGTCCTCAGCGGGCTTGGGTGGCTCCAGGCCTCTGGCTGGACACGGGGTGTGAGTCGGGTGTCAGGTTAGTGTATCTGTCTGGACTCCACTGTTTAGGGATGTGTTTTTGAGCCAGAAGATTCACGCTGCACGTTGGCAGCCCGGGAGACTTAATGCACTTCCCCAAAACATCTTCAAGGGTTCAGTACGGGGACAGAGGCCAAGGGAAGCCTCAAGGATGACAAAAGGTGAATGCAGGGCCAAGGCTTCCCCAGGGAAACTGGTCACCCTGAGGTTCCCCTGAGCCTCCAGGCACTTTGCAAACCACAGTGGGAAGAACTGGGGCCTCAGAGTTGGGACAGAGGGCCCAGACCAGGGCCAAAGGCTGCTGTGTGCTGGGGGAGGTCCCCCGTGGTAGGCAGGGAGGACTGGGACTGAGGGAGGACGTCTGGGCTAATATCATGGTGGCATGAGCGAGCACAGAGGAAGGAGCCTCCTTTCACTGGAAGCTCGCTCTCCAGGCCAGGCTGAGTGCACTCAGAGCTGGGGACTTGTCCTCGGTGCCACGGCCCACCCACCACAGACCTCCGATTTCCAACCCAGCAGGCCTCCCTCCCTCTCTCTGTTCCCCAGGAACAGCCCCAGGAACAGCCACAGTGACTCTTGCGTCTGGGCTGCTGAGTGTGTGTGCTGGCAGGCGGACGAGTTTGCAGGGAGAGCGGGTGTGCAGGTGTGAGAGAGGGCCCGTGTCTGCTTGTGTGTGAGTACACGTGTGTCGTGTGTGTGTGTGCGTCGTAGTGGCCCTGTTCTTGTCCAGCGGTCCCCAGGGGGATGGCCTGTTTGCTAGGAAGGCCTTTGCAGAGGACCTGCCCCTCAGCCAAACAGGAAGCACTGGCCTCTGGGGGAGAAGAAGCTAGAGGAGGCCCCTGACCCCGGGGCAGCTGCAGAGAGTCGGGGAGGACTCAGCAGTCATTACTCAGACAGCTACTGGGGGCTCAGGGCTCAGCTGTCTCTGGGTTGTTGGGCTGATTCGGTGACTTGGACGGCATGGTCCTGGGCTTGCTTGGTGGTGACCCGGCAGACGGCCCTTCTCGGGAGCTTTGTAGCTGCTGGCAGTCTGCGTTAGCAGAGGGAGCTGGTGAGCCTCTGACCCGTTCCTGGGCCTGTGGGTTTCTCTTCAGCATTTGCCTTCTCTGCGTTTAGAGGGGGGTGCTGTCCCATGGGCCCCATCCCTGCCAGAGCTGCCCGTGCCTTAGGGGTGTAAGGCAGGGCGTCTGTTGCCATCGGGCTGAGAGCTCTGGGCAGCAGGTGCTGGGGCCGTTGGCACAACCAGGGAGAACTCGTCAGGCCACCAAGAGAGGTCTGGGTGCTCTTCCTCCGTCCCTGTCCTCCTCCGGGGACAATGCTCTGTAGCCACGAGGCTGCAGACGGGCACACCCAGGCCCAGGGTGTGTCACAGTTCTAGCTGTGGGCCTGACCACCACCTTGGTGCTTCTTTTCTCCCAGGCGGAGCTCCCAGGGAGGCACAGGTGTTCTCCCTCACGGTGGGGCCTGAGCTTGGTGTCCACTCATTCCTGCCGTGCCAGCCTGGTTGTGTGCCGGCCTTGGCCTCTGTGCTCCCCCTTCTTGGGCATGTTCCTGGGATGCAGCTTTGGGCCTTTGTCCCCTGTGGCATGTCCTCCGTGTGCCTCCATCGGATGGCGGTTGGTCTGATGTGGTCACTGGAGATCCTGCCCCGGGGATGAGGTCTGAGCTCTGGGCGTGTGGTGTTGACTTTCCTCTCTGTCCGTTGCCCCCCACCCTCCTAGCTGTTTCTCTTCTCCCAGTGAATCGTGTTGGGTGGGTGAGCTTGTCTCCTGCTGCTGGTTGGGCTGTGAGTGAGGCCCTGAGTGACACTCACCTTGACTCTGCCCCCCCGTAGCCAAGCCATGTGGTCTGTGAGGCAGGAGGACTGGTCCAGAGGCTGTGGCACCCTGGGAGCAGAGGGGCCCTTACTGCCCTCAGTGTTCGAGGGGCTCCCTGGGTTCTGTGAGACTGTGCTGAGCCTGAGGGGCGGGGCTCCTGCTTCCTCAGAGTATGTCCCCGTCCTCTGGAGTTGGGCTATGGCCTCAGGTGATGGCCCCCTTCAGGCTCCTGTCAGGGAATGGATGCTAAGGCCGATGTGGTCTCCTGCTTCTCCGTGTTCGGTCACCCTTCTCCTCGCCTGTACTCCGAATGCTGACGCACACTCACCGTTCTCTCAGGACGCCCAGCACTCACTGTCACGTATGTTCACACCCAGTACCACACATGCTCACCTCACACGCGTCCACACACTCGCATGCACGCTCATACGCACGCACTGCGCGCGCACTCACACCCAGTTGCACACCCACCCACACCCACACACCTCTTTGCTCCTGGGACCTGTAGGAGGGTGAGTTGCTCTGAGCCCCTCAGTGTGTAGACTCGGCCTTGAGAAGGAGGAGCTGGGAAGCTGTGGGGTCTTCCCCTAGGGGAATGACCTCAAAGGGGAAGGATCGTAGAGATTTCTGGTTTCTCTCTTGGTTTTGGGAAGGTGTCCAGAGTCTCTGGAAAACGGCTGGAGTCCCAGTGAGGAGGTGGGTTGGTGATGTAGCCTGTGTGCCCCTGGGAGCGTCACGGTGAGCTGCAGCGCCCGGTTTGGAGCCCGAGGGGCCCAGGACTCAGGGGGGCAAGGGCAGAGTGGGGCAGGCAGGTGACAGGGCTCTGGGGGAGCCCAAAGGTAAGGTGTCCTGCGTTAGCTGGCTTTGCTCTGTCTCAGAGGCAAGGCAAATGCACAGGTTGTCCCACGGCAGCCCCGTGGCAGTGGGACACACAATGGCAGGCAAGAGCCATTTGGAATTCAGGGACGCTCGGGGCTGGCTCCTTCCAAGGCCTATGCCGTGCGTGGGGCCGAGGGTGCCAAGCTGTGGGGATGGACCCCGGCCGCAGCTTCTTGTCCTCTGGCCGTGGGGAGGGTGCTGTGCTCCTTCTTGTGTCATTGTTCCGCCCGATGCTCTTTCTTTCTCAACTTCTCTTTTACCCCGAGGTCTCAGCTGGTGCCCGTTCTGATGGACGCGTCCCCGGCCTCCTGCCCAGACGCCCACCGCAGCCTGTGCCCTGACCTGATGTGGCTTAAACGTGTTCTGTGCCCCTTAGAGCCCTCTCTGGTTTCTCACTTCTGTTTTGTCTTGTTTCTTGCATGTGCAGTTTCGTAAAGCACACTCGGGGCGCCGTGTCTCACAGCTCATCTGTCTCCAGCGTAAACTCACCGTGAGTTCCTCTGTTATGACACCCTCTGTGCCTTCACGGTGGCTACATGTGACACCTCCACCACCCCTAACTGCTTTTCCACCTCCAGCCCCTTGCTCCAGGGGCAGTTCCAGGAAAGCCTTCTGCAGCCGGCGGGGGACGGTGGGCACGCTTCCTGACGGTCCCGCGTCCTGATGGGGGCATCAGACTCTGCGCTCTGCCCTTCCTCTCCCTGCTGGTCCTCTTGTCTGCTGTTTGTCCCTGTGGCGTCTCTCTGGTGTCTTGGGCATTTTTCTCCTTCTCTTGAGGTGGCTGCTGCTGGGCTGCCATGGGCGCTGTGGCCCTTGTGTTTCCCACAAGGGAGAGCGTCCAGTCGGACTCACTGAGGACATTCACGGGGTCCTCCTGCCCCATCCTTTTTTGACTTGGGAGGGGATATATCTGGGACCCTTAGGCAGCTGTCCTAATGACAGCAGAGCTGCTCTCACGTTAGACCAGCCAGAGCCTGAGGTCGGCCACAGAAACCCCAATGTGTCACTCTTGGAGGAGACACCAGTCTGCCTGGGGAGGAGGTCCTGGGATGGTTGCCTCCAGGGGCTTCCTCTCCAGGGTGAGGCCAAGCGCTGCAGGTGGGCCGTCTCTGGAACTGTTGGCTGTGGTCTGGCCACCTGGATGGGGCAGCAAGGTGCCCTCTCTGGGGCCCAGTAGTGTGGGAGTGCTGGCCCTCTCTGAGCCACCTGCTCCCTGCTCGGCCGGCCTAGACCTGACACAGCTTGTTCACGGGCTGTGGGGACCCTGGTGTGTCCCAGGATAAGAACGCTGGGTCCTGGATGACTGATTCCCAGGCTGGAGAAAGATGTGGATGTCAGTACTGACGTGTCAACAGTGAGGGCTGCCTCCCAGTACCTGCAGCTGTGCATACCTGGCTCTCTCAGCCCAGAGACCCAAAGCGGGGTCGTGCCGTGGATGCTCCTGTTTGGGCCTTGCAGGTGTCCACAAGGCTTGGGTTGGGTGTGGCTGAATAGGGCTCTGCCAGCAAGCTGGGGTTGAGGCACTGTGGGAGCAGCTCCTCGTGTGATTCCTTAAAGAGCCTTTTCCAATAAGGAGTTGGTCTTGGAATACTGTCACTGTGTTTCAGATGGTGGCCTGGCCCTTGCTCTCACGTTCTTGGTGTTGTGAGCTCAGTGGAGAGGTGCAGAGACCTGGGTGGCCCACACTACTTCATGAACCAGACAAAGCAGGGACCGAACAGCAACCTGGTGCAGGTCAACTCAGACACCAGCAAGGAGGGGAGGCATGCTGCACGGACTCCAAGGAAGCCAGACCTCTCTAAGCAGTGGGTGGGTGCAGACAGCTCCAGGTGTCGTTAGGGCCCAAAGAGGCAGGGCGACCCAGCAGGATCAGAGCCACAGGGACCCAGGGGGGCTGTGTGAGCCCGGCTGCTCCGTGTCTTGCTCCCCTGGGAAGTTCTGGGGGAGTCTGCTAGCTCTGTGGCACCCTATATGTGACCGGACACGTCGTCCCTTCATGGAGTTTGGCTGGTCTCTGGGAGAGAAGGAGCTGCAGCTAGGGTCAGGGGGAGAGCAGGGCTGTGTCACCAGGAGCCTGTCCTGAGCTCCCAGCCTGCACACTGTCCCCACTGTCTTTATCACCTGTCTGTTCTGGCAGAGAACTGGCCCCAGGTCTTAGACTGCACCCAGCCCTCACCCTGAGGACCATGTGGCGCTGCGTCCCAGCCTGCGTCAGGTGGCCAGGCTGGCTGTCGGCCCTCATGGGCTCCTGTCACCCATCTCACATGGTTCAGCATTGTTCACTGTTGGATCCTTTATTTTGGTGCCAGGCTGGGACGGGTAGGTCCCCTGGGCTCTAGGTTGAAGTCCAAGGAATGGAAACAGAAGGTGGGGGGGTCTGTTGCAAGGTGTCCCTGGGAGCAGGGAAGGACAGCTTTGATGGCTCAGAGGAGGCAGGCCAGGACCTGGTGAGGCAGTTGATGGTGTTGGTTAGCAGATGGCCAGAGAGGCCACACTTGACCCCCATGCGTTGCCCTGCCTGCCCAACATAGGGGCTCCCAGGTGAGGGACGGACATCGTGCTCTTTGGCTTCCATTGTTGTGAGGCAGTGCCCTGGACATGGCTCCCCGCATTGGAGCCTGGACTTCCCCTCCAAAGGGGCTGGATCTGGTGATGCCAGATCCCACTTTGTGTAGGCGAGCCGCAGGCACTGGGCTGTCCCCTCACCCGGCCGCCTCTGGCTTTGCAGGTCAGCATGGCGCTCAGTGGCCCAGGGCCCTGATGCTGGTGGCCTCTCTAGCCTGGGCCCTGGTCTGGGACCCCTCAGGCTGTGACTCTGTGCTGTCAGTGTAGTCAGGGGTCAGGCCAAGGCCTCACCTCTTTAGAGACCTTTTTTCTGTCTTGTCTTTGTACACGTCTGACCCTGGCTCCGTCAGTGACTTGGCTGGAGGGCCCTCTATGAGTCTAGGCTCAGTGTCTTCATCTGTGAAGTAGGGAGGTCGCGGTGAGGGTTGGAGGCAATGGGCCACTGCAGTTCACAGCACAGTGTGGCTCTGAACAACTACCACGACAGTAGGTCCAGAAACCTCCAGAGGCTGGAGGACAAGACTCTGGCCTCAGACGAGGTTCCTGCTTGGCCAGGGTGGGACTGGGGTCGCCTACTTTGGAGGCCTTATTCAGCACAGATTCCAGAATGCAAAGGGTTTCTCATGTACCCTGGGCTGGGGAGCCCGACATGTGACTATGTGGATGAGGCTGTGGGGTGGTCAAACCTTGATGACCTGTGCAGGGACAGCTGAGCTTGGAGCACAGGCCACTCCTGGTGCTGGAGGGCTTCTCTGCGCTGGTGGAAGGAAGGGGCTCTCTGTGGAGCCAGGAGAGTGGAGGGCATTGAGGACCACAGGAGGGAGCATCTCTAGCTCCAGACCTAACTGCTGGGCTCCTGGGAGCAAGTGGTCACTGAGCCGAGTGGCAGGTGCCTGGATGGGGTTGACCACCTTAGGGAGCAGTCCCAGCTTATCCTTTGGCCCTGAGAGGGGGCCACTGCCCCCCCGGCACCTGGCTCCCTGGGCTATGTCTACCCTGATCCTGGGGACCTGCCTCTTCTCAGGGCCTCTCACAGACACCCCTGTCTCCTGGCCAGTGGCTGTTTTTCCAGAAGTGGAGGTGGAGAAGCCCCTCCCCGGGCAGCTCTGCTCCATGCTGAAGCGAGGCTAGCGCCCCAGGGCGGCTGCAGGGTGCTCCCTGCCTCCTGCCTCTTCCTCAGTCCTGCCCCATTCGGACGCTGCCCCCCTCCTCTCCCTGTTGGCCTTCCTAGCCAGCAGCCCACCTGCCCTGGAAGCCTGTTTGCCACCTAGTGCTGGTGCCTGTCATTCCCACTGCCCTGCATCCCTTGGCCAAGGGCCCCTGTACAGCTGCTCCAGGGTGGCCTTGAGCCCCCCACTGCCCACCAGCAGGCTGGTGCTCTCACAGTCGGTGGGGTCATGATGGGGTGGGGGCAGGGCCGAATTCTGGGCCCCCTGGGTGTCCCTTACTTGTTCTGTACCGGTTGTCGGGGGTCTCCAGGGCTCCTGCCCCCCCCCCCCCCCCCCCCCCCCCCCCCCCCCCCCCCC